CTATCTATTCTAATTAATATTAATCTCCCTATGAAATCATGTATTCATTATGTTACCGTACTTACATAACTGACTGATGATAAACAACGTAAATTTCACGTACATGCAGCATTCTCAATTTGTGTAAGAAAAATATCATTTTGATTTAATACAACAGTGCATACGCTAAAGTGTATCATTTCTTATCATCATATTGAATTCATACAGATAAGGTTGTACTACAGGTATCACATAAACTAGACATTATGAATGATTAATATAAATGAAATCAAGGTCTGACGAACTCTGTCAGAATGCGATAAACATGTAGACCTCACTTCAGTACTAACATAAAAACTCGGATAATGTTAAAATGAAATTTGATGGTATAAAATTTTTAATTTTCCTGAATTAACCTCCTTAACGTTTGCAATAGGTTTTGGAATTTCAAATACTTTTGCCTCCTCCTTAGACATTAATTGTCAATATGCCCATCTTGTGCAGTAAAACTTGGTATCACCAGACCAGTACAAAGTACTGGACTGAAAATACAGATGTTTTAATAAAATTTGCTGATAAAACATTTTGATAATAATTTTAAATAAAGGAATGTGTCTCGATTATGCATAGCTGTTTGTGGTTCGGCTTTGACTTTACTTTTGGTCCTTTTTTGTTTCATCAGCTTTTCCACGTTTGCATTGGGTTTTTTACTTTTAAAAATGTTGGCCCATTGCCACCAGCATAACTGAACAAAAATTTGTTGTTTAACTGTGGATATGATGCAGTAAAATATGTACCATTAATGTATTTAAATCATTCTATACTCCAAAGGTCTCCAAATATAGTGGAACTATTGCTTATAGTATCTGAGAAACAAACTTAACCATAAAAGCTTAACATTGACCAATATACACTTAAAATGAGGTCAAAGTCGGATGAACCCTGCAAGACGGACATGTAAACCTTACAATCGTTCTAAACACAAATTAAAGTTGCCTTATTGCCTGTTATCTTTGATTACTTTTTTACAACTTTTAAAACCAGCCCCCACTATCCACTTGTGTTTACAAACGCAAGTGGATCGTGGGGACTGGTTTGAATCAGACTGGGGTATAACCATCCAGTGATATGATTGACATTTCTGGAAAGTTACTATTAAAACAAAAATATATAAATATCTTTCGAACCATTTAGTTTTCGTGCCCCAGGCTGAGATGCCCTTATTCGGTACACACTTTGGAACTTTTTGTTTAAACTTTTAATGCACTTCAAATTATAATATACAATTTTCTCGAAAAATTTATTTGGCCTTCCAACTTATTGAAGAGCCACTGATGAGTCTTACGTAACCATTAAGAGAATCTGGCATTTAAAACTATCTAGTTATTACGCAGCCAGTGAACCATAAAATATGGTCAATAATAAGACAGAAACTTCAGAAAATAAGGCATCTGTATACAAGAGATGAAGTATTCAGGTCTACTACCTAAATTCCCACAAAATTGATCTTTCATAAAACTGTTAAAAGTGTTTCATCACCCTTCCACAAAAAAGCTATGACATAATGCCATATTATTGTATGTACATGTATATGGTAGTTGATATCAGTCACTAAGTTTTTGTAAAGCAAAAATGATCAGAAAGCATCAATAAATGCAATTGCATCGAATTCAGTGGGGTAAGACTTGGTAATTACGTCACATTTGTCTGGAGATTGAGATGTTCTCACACACGTTCCGAATTCTAATGCTTTATCCATAGCTATGTAAAAATCTACACGTTGAGTAATGAACAGGGTTTATTTATCATTGATCTGTTATGAGTGCTCCTCTGCAAACATGCCTATTAGAAAACCTAATATTCAGACGATTACAGTACCCTATTCTGTTCGAAACTGAAATCAATTAAAATCATGCTGATGCAACAACATGTCATATAACAATGGTCTATCAAAAGTTACTCTTCATCAACACAAATGAACAGAAAGCTTATGAATTAAAAATGTGGGATAAATATCTGAGGCAGCAATCCATAAACATTATCAAACCTTAGAATATGATATTCAACAATCAACATATCAGTGACCGATGATACCACTTGTTTTAGAATTATTTCAAGTCTAGACATATTGTAAATAATTTCAACAAAGGCTACAAAAGATCTGCCATGAACTTCAAACTCCTACATTTAGACTGACACAATTTAGTTGCTAAAAATCTGCTTCATTTTGTCTTTGTTGGATATTTGTCCCATTGTCAATCATATCACATCTCCATATTTTATAAAATATATAAATTGTTTATTGCAATTCAACAATCTAAAAAGTCAATTGAGCTTGACTGGAGGCACTATAAATGGATTGGAATTGTCAAATAAATTCCTGAAGCCATTACATCCCAGAGGTCAAATTTCAGGAAATTTCATGGGTCAAGATAAACAAGATTCTGTTAACTTACAAAAATTTAAAAATAATCAGACAACAGACATTTTAACTCAAAAGGAGTTAAAGTATATGTATTTATATAGATCAGTCAATGAAATTATTAAATAATTATATACTTAAGATTTCTTAAATATTTATTCAGAAATATCCATAAGATTATTTAGTTGTATGCTCATGTCAAAATTCTATTTTCAGTGGTAGTAAAGTGTCATATTTGATGTAGGTTTGGGTACTAAACCACAATTCTATAAGGGATTTATATGTATTATTATCTCAAGATTAAGTATCAATTGGCACTTACTTAAAAAAAATTTTACATTTTCCTTAAATTATTTATTGATTTTACTCCTACATTCATTTTTTTAAATGAGTCATGCTGGTAGGACTAAATATCAAACATAAAATAAACAAAACTATCATTGTTGTATCGTATATTTTATAAAGTATTATTTTTGAACTTCTACAGAACACATGTGGTGGAAGATGTCACACATTATTTATCTACAACAGAAAAATATATTGCAAGCTGTTCTAATTCCAAAGATTTGCACCTGTCAAAGAGATCATAATTTGTTGTACATGAATATATGTATATGTACTACAGGCTATTAACATAACAAGAGAACACAATGATATTAAAATGCTACTGTAGCATCAAAAACCATTCAAAAATTTAAAAAGTGGCAAATATTTTCTTAAAAATGTTCTTTATGAAATTTAAACTCATCACTTACAGTTCTAAGGAATAATATATATTTACATTTCTGTAAAAAAAATAACTTCAGGTCGTAGATATGAAATAGCACCATTGAAGATTCTTTTAAATACTAACAAGTTAGTATTAAATGGAAGGGAAAAAAAGTTAGACTATTAACACAAAACATTTTATGAGAAATAAGATGAAACCAAAGTAAGAAAACTCACATAGTAAAATACATAAAAATGTACACACATTCAAAACAACTACACATGTATAAATTAAAATGATATGTACCCTTCAAAAGTAATGACTACATATTACTATATATACATTTATACATCCATTTTCTTTTGAACTTAATTACATTTTGACTTGCTCTGTAAATAATATAATGAATCAGGAAAGATGACACTAAAAATATGTCATTTTCAGCACAGACAACAGTATGGCTAAATTGAAGGGAAATGTTTACTAGGAAACTATGATTCTGTAAGATTAGATTTTAGTTTGAACTTCCTAATCAATATAATTCAGAAGCTTCAAAAAGATTTACAAACAAACAGAAAGCAAATCTATAGGAAACAAACATTTCTAAAAGAAATCTTTTGTTTGAGTCAAATAAAATGTTTTCAATATTTAATATGAGATGTAAAATTGAATTCTCTGATTTAGAAGAAATACAAAACCAACTTAACCAATAACATACCTAAAAAGTGGGAGTGTATCAACTCAAATGTAATATACATGTGATTTTAATCCCCTGGGTATTTTTTTTCACACATGATTAATGTGGATTGAAGTTTCATTTCATTATATACAAAATGAGTATTTCCTATTAAATAAAGACGAAAATAGAAAGATTAGTGACAATAATCTGCCAGAAAACAACATAGTTATAAATATAGCATTGATTTCACGTATTTTTCAGCTGATCTAGGCATGGTTTCAAATGAACAGGAAAATCAGAAAACATGGGTTTACACGGGGAAGTTTCATTCACGTGAATTTAGATTCATGCCAATCCCACATAAATATCACCTTAAACTAAACTCAACTGAAACTCACGTTGATTTCACCTGAAAATCACATAATTTTCAGATTTAATTAAACTACAATTTTTTTTTTGTGGAAAAGTTTATGTGAAATTCATGTATAAGCTTGTTTGAGGTGAATTTCACATGAAATTTTTAATGCGAGATTCATGTAAAATTCACATGAGCAAAATTTGCCTGTGTAGCTCTAATTCAAAAAGCACCAGGTAACATACCTACTTACCGTCCCATTTTATTATTCCTTATTCTGAATGCAATTTATTTTTCCAAATTATTGTAATTAGCTCAAGTCCAATGTTTTTGCCACAAGACTTTTTCAAGAATTGCAAAAATTGAAAAGGAGAAAAAGGCTCTCCCTGAAAACTAATAGTAAAATGAGAAAGTTAATTAATCAATTCAATTAATTAGAAATCATTTATGTAAATCAGTTAGTTCTGACAAAAATCATTTATTAATGAGTAAGTTTTAACAATCCTTCAAAAGGGCCTGAGAAACCACTGACTTGAGCTCATTATAATCATTTAGAAAATGATTTTAGTTGGAAAAGTAGAAAATAGTCTTTACCTGAAATCTAATGGTATAATAAGAAAGTTGATTTAACAACATGTTAAATCAATTAGAAATCATTTATATATCTAATTCAGAAAAGATTACTTATTAAATAGTTACTGTGGGATACCAATTCAGGGGGGTTCCAACCCCAGGGTAAAGGGGGTTCCAACCCCAGGATAAAGGGGGGTTCCAACCCCAGGATAAAGGGGGGTTCAACCATATGTCCCCATTCAAAAGCATTGATCATCAAAAAAAGGGGGGGTTTCAACCCCCCCCCCCCCCCCCCCCCTGGATCTCCACTGCAATTTCTGTGGATTTCATAGATATAGGTAAACTAACAATCAAAATGTTCAACAAAGTACAAATTTTCAGCAGGCTTGTATGCAGACTTTGACAAAAGTATGAATTCAAATATCCATCAAATTACAATTTTTCCTCAATCCACAAAAATAAATGAATCCACAGTTGTTTGGACAAATTTTATATATTTAGTCATACTCTGTTATCAAACTATATCCCATCTAAAAGGGGTACACAAAAGAAATCCCGATTTTAATACTGATGAAAATTAGCTTTATCCTTACAAGGTGATAATTGTAGGGATAAGATATGCTATCATCTAATCTTTGGGGATGTAAACAATTTCTTATCGCCAACCTTGTAAAAACTTGATTGTTTTTTTCTTCTCAAAATCCTACCCTCCTCTTTTACTCTCTCCCACTAACTATTTATCTCAATTTTACTAGCATATATATTTGAAATAAAAAAAGATGGATCCACCATAATCATTTTCTTTAAATCTCATTTCAATCAACTTCAGTTCTATTACTGGCAATGCAAAGTAATTAGATTGATTAACCTTGAATTAGAAATTATATCACCTTGGAGTAGTTTTGTTTACTTCTCTATGTTTTTTACCGTAAGACCTTGGACAGTTGTTTACAACACCTATGTTAATAACATTTCAATAAATAATTAACTCAGATTCTAAATGGCCTTCAATCAGTTTGTATACTACATCAATGTTTACACCATCTTAATTAAATTACTAAATCAGATTCCAAGACCATTCACACATCTGATTCTATTGTCATCCGACTATCTGCACTTGATACAGATATCTCACTAAAATTACTGTCTAAAGAAGTTAAAGAGAGTTGTCTCCTCATGTTAGAAGATGGTTTCACGCTTCCTTTTTTTGGACTGAGAAATCTTCCTGGTGACTTTGGTCTACAAGTAAAACAAAATAAAAAGAGTATAAATGCAATAGCATATTGCAATTCCTTGCCTTTGATAATTGATCAAGCAGAACATTTTGTTTGATGAACACATTTTACCGAATATCATAACAACACAAACTAGACATCATTGAGATGGGAACCATCTCTGTGGGACCCGCTGACCTTGAACTTTGACCTAGGAAGTTGTAAAAACATTATGACACACCCTCTGGTGTTGGTTAATATACATGTCAAGTATAAAGTATGAAATTATTATGGTTCTCTAGTTATAGAGCAGACATAATTTGTTACGGACGGACAGACTGATCACTATAGGGCGATCCTCCACTAGGCAGGGCCCTAATTAAAAGACCAAAGCCAAGAATATCTCAGAAAGATTCAGCAAGCATTAGAATTAAAATTAATTAATTGAAGTGAATTGAAAGGATTTTTTCTGACATATATTTGTCAACATTAGTTAACCATTTTCTCTGCCACATTTTTTTCTGACATATCTTTGTAAACATTAGTTGACTTTTTTCTCTGCCACATTTTTTTCTGACATATCTTTGCATACATTTTTTTTCGTCAAATAATTCCTATCTCGATATTAACGATGCAGATAAATAATATAAAACATCTTCCAGTGTTAAAAATACATATGCAGTGAACTACTGAAACTGGAAAACATGATAGAACTATTTACCTCAGATGACTCCTACCTTAGATAAGTCACATATTTATGGCAGGCCCCTTCAACTTGAACTTACCATGATCAACTGTGAGTATATTATGAAAGTTTTTGGTCATATTTGCCAATAATGTTATATTATCATATTTGTACTAAAATAGTCAGGCTTGAATTTTCAGAAAGGTCTGATTTTAGTTGGATTTTTCAAACTATACAACCAGTCATTTAAAACTAAAACATAAGATTTTGAGATTTCTGCAATATCAGGGCCAAAAAAAAGTATGAACCATACCTCATTTTTTCAGGACTAAGAAAAGCTCAGGTCTCATAAAACTTTTTTTTTTTAACACCCACCTATGCTAACTTGATAAATTACCTATATTATTGGCAAATTGATAATAGGGTTGATAAACAAGAGAAACTATTAAAAAAAAAAAACTACAAAAGTTCATCTATTCAAGGAAGTTGTCATTTGTCTTGGCATTAACTAGAAGGTCTTCAAACATGTGGAACAAAACTCACATCTCATATACATTTAAACAGCAAGAAAAAAAAAGGCAAATGTTGAATTTTTCAGTAATGTTTCCAGAGGGACCAATTTGTCTTTAATAGAATAGCTTTTAGTAGAGGATTAATTCTGTACATATTTTAACATTACCATTTAAGTATACAATGGTAACACTCTGTTACAACCAACTCAAATTTATTTTTTTAAACTGACCTATTTTCTTTATCATCTTCATCCTTGAATTCTCTAGAGATTCCATCATTTCCTTGGAGAACTATTAATTCTGTCAGGTATCCTGTTCCCATGGAAATATAAACAGTACCACGAGTAATACCTACACCAAGAAATCGGGGGCCTTGAATATCTATACAGGTCTGTTTACCTCTAAAAGGAGAAGATACCAAAAAAATGATTATCAAATCTGCTTTTGTATAAGAAATTCAAGAAGAATAAATAAGATTCTTACAAGCTGAAATTCAAACACCCATTCAGTTGGCAATATTCACCAAAGTTTAAATATTATCAAGTTGATATGTGAATAATTTTTAAAAATGTGAATGGACCTGATAAACATAAAAGATCAATACACAGGGAAAACTTTCAGACATGGTTCAATAATGCGTGTTATTTGTCTTTCCTAACAAATTTACACACTTGGTCTCTGTAATAATACTAATATTCAAATCAATGCTATAAATAAAATTTTATAACATGATGATCCATCAGACCTTCTAAGGGATACTTTACATTCAAATTTGTTACCTATACAATGACATTAAGGGTTTACCAAAGCAAATAAAAATGACAATTTTAATAACCCTTTTATACATTATTTACCTGGAAAATAAGGTTGGTCAACTATATCATGTATATATATTTCTATATATTTCAGTAATATGGATTATAATTAACAGCATATCATAAAATGCAGAAAATCTCACCACAGGATTAAACTGGTAGAAATGCCATCGAAATTCAATGAACAAGAATGTATCCATATGGTCAGATATGGGATGGTCCAAAAACTAATAGACTAAAAAGTGGATGGACTCACTGATCGGAAAACAACCCAAATTCTTCTTTTGTTAGAAATTTTCATGTTAACATTTTATATTGATTGGCCAACTAGAAGAAAGGTTCTTGCAAGGAAACAACATTCATACTGCAGACAATGACAAAGTGACGTTTCAAGTATTTAAAAAGTTCCTGAAAGGAAAAAAATGTTTACTCTTAATCTTTAAATAATATATTGTCATTAACAAACCTGGTTTCTCTTTTGTCAGCAGGTATTGTAATGCATTGTACACTACTAAAGTAGGTCACATAAAGGAATGGTTCACTGTAAGCTGTAATAAAAATCAAACATTTTTGTTTTTAATAAGAAATAATAGGTTTTCTAATCATGTTGACAGCAAGTTATTACCTGAAAGATGGATAAATGATCAATTAAATCATGACCAATAAACTTAAGGTCACAGATTTTCTTTTTTGTGTAAACAAGCTTAAAAGTGGATGCCTCAGTAAAAAATAAGCATAAACTTGTAAAGTCATAGGACATAATTGTTCAACATTTATCAATAGAAAAATAGTATATAAAAAAAATATATTGCACAACAAAAATAAATTTGAGTGTCCAATGACTATTTTTAGTAATTTTAACAGAAATTTATCAAGGAACGATTTATCAATATTTAGGAATAATCTATGGATTGATTTTAAAATGAAATAAAGATTTTTTTCTCCCACATTTCTCAGAAAGCTCTTTACTCCTATGTGCATAAAATACAAATATTCTTCAATTTTCAGGAACTCCATTCAATAATTTTTGCAGACAATAAGAGATGAATGATTCTTTTTTTTAATTATCAGTTTATCTTTACATATAGAAGTTGTATACAAATCTAAAAAAATATCCTGTAATAACAAATGCGTCTATGGGCCACAGATGCCCCCGCTTGTAAATATGCATGAGTCAACTTCCACATACAGATACAGGATTCACGTTATTAAGACCATTTTTTGTGATTATAAGCATTGGGTGTAAGTTTCATAACATTTGGTTGATGCAAACTAAAGTTAGAGAATGGGAACAAAAAATTCAGCAATTTTTATGTTTATAAAGGGGCATAACTCATGAATGGTAAAAGTGACGCCACCCAATTTTGAACCTGATCTGTGTTTTGTGGTAATAAGCATTGTGTATAAGTTTTATAACATTTGATTGAGGCAAACTAAAGTTAGAGAACGGAAACCAATTTAGGGACATACGGGACGGACAGACGGACAAGGGTAACACTTAATGCATGAAATGGTTATTGTTTTTATTTTTTAGATTTAAAAGAACAAATTGCCTCATATATGAAACGGCAATCTTTCTGTGTGCGTTTTATGTCATTTCAAGCCAGGTAAACCTGTTGTCTAATCAAAATGGTTCCTGCAATAATCAAAAACACCCTGTTCTTGTCGGAAACAGGCCAACTTATAACTGAAATACTAATTAATGTCAATTGCCATGCAATATAACACAAAGATTAAAAAAAAAAAATCCACCTAGGGAAAACACTTTTATACTTATTCCCTTATGCTTGTTTTCTCAGGAGTTGATTTGATTAAAATTTGTACATCAGCTCAGTAGTCAGTACTTCGGTACTGACATGATTTATTACAAACCTTTCTAAAATTGTCCATTTATAAATTTACAAATTATTTAGAAACTAAGGTTTCAACTCCCTCAGGCAAAGTTGACCTTAGATGGATTTGGCTATCATTCTTAGGTCCTTTTTTGTCACATAGCTCTTCAAATGTTACGGTTCTTATACATCCTTGGCTTTCAAATGTTCAGCTTTGAGCATTCCAGAAAGCACTTAGGATGCATGAAATTTATAAAGTGTTGTTTTTATTTTGTATACAACATACCAAAAGACAATGGGAGACAACTCCATTTCAGCTCTGTAGGTCTGCTTCTTTTTCCTTTTGAATCAACATAAAATCCAAATTCTGCAAAAATAATCATTTACAAAGTGACTTTTTATGTTCAGTGTATTGTCCTGTGGTCTTTGGTATGTGGTATCTGCCTAAATGCAAATATAATCTCAACTCCTTTTATTTGCAAAAAAAATTCTTCTTGAGGAAAAAACTTTGTTCTATATTTAGACGAAGATTTTCTTGGAAAGTGACCCCGTTTTAAATATTTTTAACATCTTTAATATCAACCTTTATCTAAACATATATAATGACGATACCTTTTTACAGGTGTAAAACCGATACATATGTTTGTGTATTACATTAATATCAATTATAAATATTTTGAGCATGCAGGACAAGAACAAATCAACACTATGTAAACAGGTACAACATAAAAAGTACCAGTAGATGGATGCTGTCAGAAAACAGACATATACTATGTAGGATTAAATGTTTTGCTTATCAGCATTTATCTGGGGGCCCTCTGTGTCGGAAAAGAAAAGGCTCACTACTGTGTATTTATTATTATTTGTTGGATAACAATTTTTGTGAATTTATTGGTACAGGGGTACCAAAAATTCAATTATTCAATGAATTACAACTTTTCTATAGAAATGCATGCAGACTTTGGGAAACGAAATCAAATACCCATGAAAGTTTTCCTCAATTCACGAAAAATTGGTAACCACAAAAATAATGAATACACAGTATGTACAAGTTACTCCTGCAATATAAAACAAAACCAATTTTAACAAGCTTGATCTTCAATAAACAGATCTTATGATGTAATGATGTTTAACGACCTTGTCTATCCTTAGAGGGTCTCTCATGATCATGTTGTTATCAAAAATGGATATATGCAGTTACAAGCCTCTGTGGAGCTGTGTGGAACCAATCTGGAAGAGAACCAATATAGATTTTTTTATTTTAGTTGTGCTTAATGTTTAACAAAATCATTACCATGGAAACAGATGAGAAATTCCAACGGCAATCCTTCAGGTGATACTTTTACAACTGCTAAAGGAAAGCTATTGTGTATTGCTGCTCCAAAAGCTGCAAATGCTAAAGAGTTGTCCCTCTTGTCTACAAAATCTACAAAAACAAAATAAAAAAAAAATTACATAAGACATAAATCATTCAATTTTAACATCTTGACGTTCATTGCTCATTAAACCTTTATTTTAAAAGATAAATTTTTGAAACCTTATAAGAAAATCTAAAAATGAGAAAAAATTAAGACCAATAGTGTTTAAAGTGCAATCTTTAGTTTAAATAAAACACAGATATAATTTTTATGTGTAAACATCATTTAAAGTGGATGGCTCATAAAAAAAAAACAATGTAAAAAACATTAATAAAAATAAGCAAAACCGTGCAATGTCGTAAGAAATCTATTCAACATTTACATTACAACCAACCAAACAAACAATTTTTTTTATATATGTATCATTCTATTTCATTGCAAGAAGCAATAAATAAACATGCCTTTCTGCTAATATTTCCTATGTGTATTTAACAACATGCAACTGTAGGCTAAGAGTTGAAAGACAAACCACATGTTAATACATTTTCTATGAATAAAATTGTAAATTTATTAATATGACTCAACATACCAGTAATGCTTGGATGATCTAAACTCAAACGATAAAATTTGTCTGTTCCCACTATTGCAAACTCACTGGACAAACATACACAGCTGCATGGCTCATTAGTCATGAATTCCTGTAATAAAGTGATAAATTAATGAATTAAAACAAGTGAAACTGCGAGCTACTGCTCACTGATGATACCCCTGCCCAAATATTTCGGTAGTTGTTGAGAGATGAATCTGAAAACACATCACACGGTATAGCTGACTTATATAAACCCTGAACCAGATTTCAGAAATCATTGAATTGTGATCCTGAGAAAAATGTGACGAAAATTATCAACTTGGCTTTCATGTGTAAAATGATACAAGTGTTCAGTTAACAGGAAGTAGTTGAGTGATGAATCTCAAAACGCATCACACGGTATAGCTGACTTATATAAACCCTGAAACCAGATTTCAGAAATCTTTGAATTGTAGTTCCTGAGAAAAATGTGACGAAAAATATTCATGGGACAGACGGACGGACTGAAGGATGGATGGATGGATGGATGGATGGACGGACTGATGGACGGACAAACAGAGGTAAAACAGTATACCCCAACTTTTTTAAAGCGAATGTATAATTATCCAACATTAATAAAAAAAAAATATTCTATGTGACAATTGTTCATCTTTAACTTATCATACAGTGCTTATATATATATATTTGAACTGTTATTTGAGATGTCATGCTCACGTGTAGAATTCTGGATTCAATTTAACTTTCAAAATGTTTGCACAAACTGATCTTTTGGTAAAACAAAATCCAGATAACTTATGGTTAAGCCTTAATACTCATGTAGTATCAAACAAACTAAAAGTATTCAATATGTTGCAAAAAATTTGCCATTTTCTGCAAATAAAAAAGGCTAGATGGCTTACAAACCAGTTAACCCCTCCATTGTTGGTTGTGTATGTCAACAGAAAAAAGAATAAGGTATTCAGTGGAAGTCTCTTGTACCATTTGTTCTGGGCATACATTGCAAATTCTGCTGTGAAACAGGTATTTAATTTTTTTTTTGACTTTCTTATTTTCCATGTTGCTTACATTGATGCTTAAAATAAAAGATAAATGTAAAATTGTCTAATGTTACTATTAGAAGTGAAGGTATTCAAAATTGTAATTGTATCAAATCCCATTTTTTCTATATTTATCAAACATTTACATAAATTTCTTTCAAGCAAAAAGCATACTTTTCTCAAACAGAATGACTTCATTTCCGAGTTATATTTCATAAGCAGAACCCTGTCGGCCATACCAACAACCATGTAGGAACCACCATGACACTTTGAAGCATCCATCACAGTACATCCAACAATTCCCTCAATTACTGTATGTGGAATAGGATTAGTCTCTTCTTTAGCAGCAGAGTTAGCCTGATCTATTCTAGAATGTATCATACGCTTGTCTATGGTGACTACAGCCCTTTCTCTGCCTGCAACAGAAACATATTGTTCGTAAAGGATTGAAATGGTATATAATCAATGAGAGCTATTCTTCATTAATGGACCTGGAGAACGTGCATTTTATACAAGCTTGTTTTTTAAATGTCACAAACATATCATGTACAACAAAATTGACTTTTTATCTTGCTGGAGAGGATCTGTAAACCAATTTAAATATTTGCTGCACTTACCTTTGTAGTTTTTTACCAAAGATAACGAATACTTATAAATTTTGTAGGGAATTTTTTAAATCTTCATGTATTGCTCACAACTCTTCGCCCAGTTTCAATGTACTTTTTGGTCCTGGTAATGTTTACTACAGGTCATTGTATTGCCTTCAACAATGAGAAAACCATTATCATATAGTGACGTTTGCTTCAAGATTCAGATTCCCTGATATTTTAACTTAAAGCAGTGAAGAAGACACATTATTTATTGTAATGTGCATCTAGAGCATTAAAACTTGTATCACCTAAAACAATTACTAAAATTCTTACCTGTTATTAGAATGATCAGGTTGAGAGATGATAGGTACAAAATTTGATGCACACTTTTAAATCCTGTCAGCTGTGTAATAATAGCATGTTTACCATTGTATAAATTCACACAAAATAATCCCTCGTCTGCACCAAGTAATACCAACTGAAGAAAAAGAAGAAAAATTGTTGACTCAAAATAAAGCAAACAATTGTATTCATATGCACCACATTTTAATATTTATAACTTAACAGCGTTCTGAAAATATTAATCAAATGGAAACTGGATGAAAAATAATCTCCGCCATAAGATCTGTACCATATAATATTTACTCTATGCTAATTTGTTTACTGCATCCACATAATAATTCACAACATGATAATTTTCAAGAACACTCCCATGTCAGGTTCTGCCAAAATAAATCATAAGAAATGCTGGTTCAGACTGCCACATTTACACAAGGTTTGCCATTTTCACATTTCAAGACAGTCTGATTGTTCTACTGTTTCGTACAGACAGAACAGGTAGATGTTGGATGTTGTTGCGAAGTTTCACGAACTCTGCCATGAAATGCATACATCATATTTGTTTCCCGATTATTGTTTTGTACATAAATCAGGTCGTCAGTTTTCTCATTTGAATTGTTTTACATTTTGTCATATTGGGGCCATTTATAGCTTGCTATGCGGTGTGGGTTTTGCTCATTGTTGAAGGCTTTATAGTGACCAAAATTTGTTGATTTCTACGTCATTTGGTCTCTAGTGGAATGTTGTGTTATTGGCAATCATTCCACATCTTCTTATGATAAACTATTCATTTAATTGACCTACCTCTTTACATAAGGCAAAGGAGCAGTTGAGTTCCAGTCTTCGACTTCCTTCTAACTCTAACAACGTCTTGGAAAACATTCCCTATAGAATAAAAACAGTATTATAATAATCTAGGATGTCAAAGTTAAACGCAAGTAATCTAGGATGTCAGAGTTTCCTTAGTGTTTTCCTACTGACAAAATATTAAATCATAAATAAAAAATATGGTGAAACAAAGCTGTGGATACATTTCCAACACACATGTCTGCACTATAGATTATTTAATGTATGAAAGCTCACAGCGTGATACCCAAATGTAAACACTGACATAGTCAATGAAGGATGGATTGGAAAAGATGGGAGGAAAGATGGATGTACATGAAACAAAACTTCTATGGAACACTAGGATATGAGCAAAACATAAAAGGAACAGACTTATTAATGATATTTTACATCTTGACCTTTGCTGGAAGGTCATATATAATGAACTGAAAAGGGCAAACATGACAGATCAACATGGCTCCTAGAGTGTGTGGTACTCTGATATACACCAACAACCACTACATATGTGTATGGAGGAATAAATTGCCTAGTGATTTTATAAATCTTCCTACATATCCTATTGTTTATTGCCTGACAAAGAACTTTATAATCATAATAACTACATAAAAACAATTACTGTGTATCATCTGGATAACTGAAAGTAAAACTGACAAAGAAAAGTAAGGCAAAAATAACAACAGACTACTTGGAAAAACATTTTTGCCTAAAATGATGTACCATGAAGTAAAATAACCATGAAAAATAATCTCCTGGACAATAATGCAGAACTTGAAAATAATACATGGGAATAACATCCACAAAACATAAGAGTGATCTACTTTTACCTGATACCTATTGAATATGATACTAAAGATATGGAACTTGAATTGATGCAAATAAAGCATGTTGAAGGGGTCAAACTAAGTACTAATTCAAGTGCACCTGCTTGCAAGTTTAGATTATTCTAGATCATAAATCTCATTTGAAATTCTCTGTATAGTACCAGAGTATATTGCTAACTCTCAAAATAAAATGTTGCAATCTTTTATGGACTTACAGTTCTGACAATGGTGTCTTTTCTCTGTATACTTTTGACAGCAGCTTCCAAACATGCTACCCATTTCTGCTTGTCTGAGAAGTTACTAGCCATCAGATACAACACTCTGAAAAAAGATAAATATAGCTTATATATACAAATTTAGGTAGTTAGTCTAAAATATTCATACACCTATCTGTTGTCAAAATGTACATCTTTCTTGTCAAAACTTGAGATAGTGCAGAGATAGAGGCTAGCCATACTGACTGGAAAATGATGTCAACAAAGTTGTCTGTAGTACTAGATTTTTTTCTGATGAGAGAGCAACTAAAAAAATTTATTCTCCAAATTTATATTCCGTTCATTATCTTCAATTATTTTACAGGGGTTCAATTTTGCTTTAAACAATGAAAGGCCCCTGACCATTTGAATCTTCAAGTAAAATGTTCTCCTTAAGAAAGTCAAAGATCCTGTAAAAAGTATCAGTGTAAAGAATGGGAGGTCTTTGTATTTTGTAATTCAAAAGTCCCCTTCCAGGAAGGACAGGTCCCCAGACCTAAGATTTTACCTTCCTGGCCAGCAGGTTGTGAGTGGTTGCTGTTCCAGTTTCATTACATGAGCTAGATCAGTGTTTGTTGTGTTAGGCAGCTCTGCAGTACTGATTGCACTGTGAACTGTAACATCTGTGTTTGGTGGACCAAGATCAAAAGTGTCTATAGGACTAGCATCAGATTCATACATAAATAATAACAATATATTGTTTTCTAGTGAAGCCCATCGTCTTTCCCAGCCTTGTTTCTCTGTCCTGTAAAATAAAACCCACACATTAGTGAATAAATAAAAAGACAAATATAAGTTAATTCTAACAATTATTAAAAAATATATATTTTACCACAAATGCCAAAATTATTACTTGATTGGTAGAGACTATCCAATGTGAAATTGAACAATACTTTGTATTCACATCTTTTGTATTCACATCTGAGCACCATATTCCCCTCCAAACATCATGTTGCACCTTGCAGGACACTACGCATGGTTTACCTAACTCATGTAATGTTTTAGCTCTTTTCATACGAAACCATAGTAAATATATATATCGTCTTTAAGCATATTTCAGGTGTAAAGTCAAAATTGAAAAAACATGGTATACTATAAATAATTCATTACTGATGTACTGTTGATGCCACGTAGTTATAAAATAAAGCAGGCATGAACAAATTGTGTGTTTACATGATATATTTTAAGAATACACAAATACATGCACTATATATCACAGATTTTGAACAAATGGCCCTGAAACACCTTGCAACATGTTTTGCGCTCCTTTGAATCATGTTGTTGGTTTATGCCTGTCATATTTGTTTTTTGTAAATTGTTTTGTTATGAATTAGGTCATAAGCTTTCTTGAATTGTTTCACATTTTTTATGTTGGAGCCTTTTATAGCCGACTATACTGTATGGGTTTTTCTCATTGTTGAAGGCCTATAATTGCTTACTACCACTTCATTTTGACTCGGATGGATAGTTGACTCATTAGCAATAATACCACATCTCCTCGTTTTTATATACCGTAAAAAGGCTTGGATAGTCCGTGGTTTTATTCTCCAAAATTGGACCTTCCAGACGGGGTGCGGACTATAGAGTACAATAAGCAAGAAATAAGAGAAAAATTTCAATGGTGGTTTGTTTACGTTCCGCCATCTTTGTTATTTATATTGTAGAGGGCGCTCTTATCATTTTTCAAACTAATAATTTTAACTCATCCATATTAACAAGTTATTTTTATTCAATATCAAATTAATACTGATGAATATAAAAACTAAACCTTTCATTACAAATTTCTCGTTTCTTTTCAATGCATTGGTTGAAATAAACTGGTATCTGCTTGATTGAAACGATACAAACATAGTGAAAAAGACAACCGTAACCAGCTTAGAATTTGTAAACTACAAAACATAATCGGTTATTGTTCGTTCCGTTTTGGTGGTTCATACTGACTAATATGGTTTGTATTAGCTTAAGACCCTTCAAACATTAATGTGATATATATATTAAAGACTGTTTTACAAAAGGATGGAACTGTTTCACTTTCAAAGTCGTATTATAGTGATATCTGTTATGTACGGATTTCGACTCTCACCGGTTAATTTCTTCTTTTACACGTGCTTTTTAAACTTCCTGTTTAAACATACACAAGTTTCTAAATTGTTTTTTACGTGAATTAAACTTATTTTAACAATCATGAAGCGTTCTAGAATCATTTACAAGCAGTTTCAGCTTCTGTTTGATGATGGAAAACAGGTTTTTCCAAGAAAATACCGCAAACGACCGCACAGGATTTGAAATTACCGGAGTTTCATTAGACCTTTTCTAACAGTTACAAAAAGTTTTTTTACCTAAAATTTCGTGTGGAGAAGGGGGTGCGGACTATGTACCAGTGCAAACTATACAAGCCTTTCTACGGTAAATAGAATTCCAATCTATACATTTAATTATTAGATTACCTGGGAACTTTGAGCCATCCTTCCATTTTAATTGGGACATCGGCAAGTATTGGGGAATACCTGTGACTAGATTGTTCTACCTGACCCATTATGCTGGAGAATTGTTGGATATACTCTGTTGGCAGACCACAATTATCTTTAGCAGATGACACACATTTAGGGTGACATATCATGCCACATTCTGAAAACAAATGATTTATCATACAGTAGCGAGGCATGTACAATAAAACATCTCACAGTAATTCACTCGTCATAATCAAAGTGTGGTGAGAGTCATTCCCTTCTTCTACAGATATATCGCTTAATTTCTGACATCAATTTTTTCCTTTGATATTACTGACAAGTAATTTAATTTTTCCCTAGGGAACATATATTGAAGCTTCTAATGCCAAAAATGCCAATTTTAATTTTTTTTAAAGTTATCAGAAAATTTACCAAGTTAAATGAAATTAAAAAAACTCACAATTTTGAGCCTCTCTTTTCTCAAAAGCAAGCATTTTAACCCTTGTATTTTATGATTTTCCAACATCTCTCTTAATCACAAAAATTACCATAAAATGTATAATTGCGTTGACTGCCAAAAATAGTTGTTAGCTGACTTTTCTTATATCTCAAATAATCAAATGTAATATTATTTTAAATATACAGACAAATTCAAAATAATGAAATATATGAAAAATCATTATAGCTATAAATTCATATAACCATCAACTATATTCTAGAATTACAAACATTTTTTTTTTCAAATATCAATTCAATCTTGTTCTGATATGACAGCCGCATGACCCCACTAGGTAAATTTAATTCTCCTACCTTGACATTTAGATGCCTGCTTGACAAATGGAACACTCCCCAAACACACCCCACACTTAGTTGCTCTGGAATTTAACCCTGTAACAAATCTATGTGGAATCTTATGATTCATTCTCTGGTGTGTTGAGTTGTAATTCATGGTGGCAGCTCTTTTGACACTTGGTGTAAGAAGACCAAGGTTAACTGCTTTCTTCACCTCAGGAGTGATGGTGTCTGTTAAAGGTCCTTTTAATCTTAATACTGTAAAATAATTAAAATCATTCTATAACATTTATAGTTATGTAGTAACCAAATGTTACAGATATCTTCAAAATATAATCAAGTCCTGTTCATCTAATTTTATACATAGAAATATGAAAACTTCAATGTTAAACATGTTTTTATTACATTATAAAATTGATTTTTTTAATTATGAAGTTTTAAGTAACAACCATATGCAACTGTTGGAAACATTTCTTGTTTAAGTGAAAAGGGATTTTAAAGGCTATATTCTTTTACATCTGAATTAATGACCACTCATTGTGAGAACTCTTTTTAAAACTGATAGGGAAAAGTGGTAAGACTTGAAAGAGAAGTGCTCGTTATCTCGCGGCAATACAATGTTTGGTTTTTACTATAATATAAAGGGCCCTTTGTATCCTATTTATTTTATTATTTTCTTTATATTGTTCAATCTGAGACTATTATAACATGTGTTATAGTAGTCTCACAGTGTTCTCCCAAAGATTTTTGGATAGCACCAGGGTAACGCGTGTGGACTTCTTGGTGAAATATTTCATGCAAGCAGTTGTGTCGCGTCACATCGCTTAGCTCTAGTTACTGTAGTTTTTATGTCTCTTGTTTTGTTTTAACACTGTGGTACTGTGTTATGTATACATTGATTCAGAAAATTATTGGTAAAAAAGAAGTAAATAAAAAAAACAGTTTGTATACTTTAATATTTTTTATTTTAAATAATTCATCTGAATTTAAAGTAATTAAATCTTTTATAAAAATAAAATATCATTCAAAAGAGAACAAAAATGTTCAATTTAAAAAACTTTCTAGTTTTTAGAAAAAATTGTTGTTGTGTGTGAAAGGATTCCTGTGATATAAAGAAGATATAAAATTAACAAGAACAATTGCAAATATTGTTTTATTATTTGAACCAAGTTTCTATCTTAAATTTTAATAAAAAGAAATTTTTCATAAATTTTAGAACATTTTGCCATAGATCTCATGTAAATATTAACCTTTCTTGTCTTAGGTGATAATCAAACATAGATACAGACTTAATACTGCCCTAAAATCTAAATTTTTATTTGTCATGAACCATTTAAAAAGAATTCTTAAATCTATAAATTTATCTTTGGTCTATAGATCTATAAGTAACCATATTCAATGTCAACAACTAAGTCTCCCTATTTTCCCGCCTAAATGACAGGAAGTAGATATAAATAGATTTAACATGTGCTTATGGATAAAATTTGCAAGATTACTTCTGTTATTCATTAATTATGGATATAGATATCCAGTTTGAAGGTACAGTCATGCATTTAATTTATAAAATATAATAGATTGCAATTAATTGTAAATAAACTTGAATATTCTACGTGAACTAACTGGGTCATGTGATATGTACAGACAGATACTACAGTTTGAAACCCGACTATCATGCAATAACTATGTCATAATTAAAGATAATATTGGCCATGGTTTAATCAGAGACATATTATACTATAATATAAGAATTGGGAATGTATAGTTGTCCATTATACGTAATGAGCCACCATTATGATGTACAAAAAATGTACCTATCGGGTCAAGACACTGTGTACAATGTATTTGCCGACTTGTCACAGGTCAGTGCTTGGGTGGAGAGTGAAGCCATAAAATAGTTATCTGTGATCATAAAGTTATGAACTCTTAATTAAAACACAAAAGAATCATGTTACAAGTGTTAATTACATCGATTAAATCCAATCAACAAGGTTAACCTCATATGGTAAATCGATCACGTGGTGTAAACAATCTGTGTTGAACTGGTTTGAACTGGTCAAATTTCACCTGGAATTTTATACCGCACGGAAAAGATTTAACAAGTCGTTTAAAACTTTACCAATTTACAATTTTTTAACTGAAAATTTTAGCACCACGGAGAAAAATTATACATCGCGGTAAAGAAAGTATCACAAAAATTATACATCGCGGAAAAGAAAGTATCACATATCAATTTAAATTCAATTAAAAACTATTCTGTTTATCATTTTTAAGAAATTCATTGTTTTTCATTAAAAAGATATAGTTCTAGCAAAGTTAAGCAAGGTTAATCAAAAAAATTGAAACAATACATTTACATGGAAATATACACATTAAGTAAGGAGATCTAACCCAAGTCTGTTAAAGCGTGCGGAAAGTGTAATTTTCCATTTTGGAATCATTATTCCTGTCTGCTGTCCCATAGTGCATTCGTAGTTATCACCATAAGAATACGGATTTCCGTCATAGCTGATCCGCTTCCAATGAATCCTTCATACGATCCGTAGTTCGCACAAATATTTCAATAGTGGTCGAAAAAAAATTTTACGAAAATAAAAGATGTTTGCCAAGCGATTTGGAAAGGAATATAACGCTTTCATTGCAATAAATGGATGAAACATTAACTAAAGGCAATTTTCAACACGTTCTAATGAAGTAAAAAACTTGTTAAATTATTTTGCCAAAAATCAGAATGTTTTGATGTACGCTCTCGAGTAACAAGTACCCGAAGTGATAAAAAGTTGTCTGTTTGAAATAACATACAATCAATTCATAAAGTCAATGCTTTTACCTCTTTTCTATAGAAATAAATCGTTTATGTCTTTGAATTTCTTTACTTATAAATGAAAAATTGCTGTTTCATTGACTTGGTAAAACTTGAAGATTGCCTATGACAAAAGCGACTGAAAGCATCTATATTGTGAACACCAGGGCAACTAGAATCTCACTTTTGACAGTAAAGCAAAGTGACGGACGGGAAAGCAACTTCTTTGCCCCAGTCACCTGCTAGCGTTAGCCCTGTCCTATATATGTCTAGAACTTAATCTTGGATATGCTGTAAAACTATCTTAACTGAGCTGGAAGGAGTGATGTGACCTGATTTTTTGCTCTCAGGGTATATGAATATTTGTCAAATTCATTCAAGGCTGTTCCAAAATTGGGAGGCACTCAAATTCATTATATATAAGTGGCTGCATTTTCCTTAGAATATGTAAGAATTATAAGTAAAACAAAAAAATGTTATGGTTGGTCGGGGTCTTAAAAAGGTGCCTTTCATCCCCTTTTACGTTTAATTTTGGTACAGCCCCAATACGAAATGTTGAAATGATAACTATAATTTAAGATTGTTAAAGTGATTAATTACTATATTCTACTGATTTAAGTACAATGTATGATTTAATAATAAATGTATGCCTGATAGCTTTTTAAGTATCCTACACCAAAGCAGTTATAAACAGAGCAACTCTGGATTATAATATGTTATACTTACTTGGTGCTATAGACAGTTAAAATATAAAAACAACACTTTACAAATTTCTTGTGTCCAAAGAGCTTTCCTGGATTTATCTTCATTAGGAACTCTCAAAGCCGAATATTTGCAAGCCAACAATATATAAGAACCTAAGCAGTTGAAGAGCTATATGACCAAAATGGTTCTAAAAATAATAGCCAAATCCATCTTAGGTCAAATTTGCCTGAGGGAGTTGAAACCTTAGTTAAAATATCATTCATTCTAAAAAAAAATTAAAAATATACTTATTCCCAAGGAAGATAGTCAACTAATTGAAAGGTAACGTCAGTTTAGGAGACTAACAGAAATTGAAAACACTGTAGTACGATTAAACAGTGCTGTGATAAAGTTTGATAGTACTGAAAATCGCAAGGCTAAAATTGCCTGGGAAGAACCCTGTTTTCTGTGTGGCCCTATAAATATATCAACAATTTAATTTTTAAACAAGTCAAAATGATCTCACAGCAACTTCAAACATTTTTCATTCAACCCAAAAGTTTTTAATTTTCCTCTTCATAACTTTTAAGCCTATCTCATTTACATAGTTTTTAATGAAAACATCTTTCAAACAACCCAAAACCGTGATCACCATAGAAACCTTTTAACCACAGAAACTGTGCTATCCTTTTCACACTTATAACAATTTCACCTTTTAAATACTAATATTTACACAAGAAATGAAAACTTTCTTACTTGAAATAACCTTGTAACATTTACCTATGATAAGAGATCAAATACCTTATTTATGTCAACCAATTTCATAAACAATAAGTGATCAGTTCTATCCTAATTATAATGTCAATTGCAAAACAACATTGATGTCCTAATTTAATGATACTTACAAACATCATTTTACTTTTTATGCTAATCATGAAGATGACATGTACTACCGAAAATTTGATACCCTTTTTCTTTTCATCTTAGGGGCCTCAGTGGCTGAGTTGTCTAAGTAGTTACTACTGTAATCACTAGCCAGTCAACACTGAGGTTGTGAGTTCAAACCCCGCTCGTGTGGGTGCACTGGACTCCAATCTTAATTCAGGCACTCCGGCTTCCTCCACCAATAAAAACTGGCCGCCACGAGATAGCCCAAAAGCGGTGCTTAAAAGTGGTGTTAAAACACCAAAAATCAAAATCAAAAATCTTTTCATCTTGTTTTCCATCAAATACACTAACTTTTTTTAATTTTATGCTACTTTTTTTCTAAACAACATCAAAATGGGAACATCAAATTTTTTAAGTATATAGCATGCCAATATAAAACAATACAACTAGGATTAACTATTGTAGACATGCTTACAATCATTAGCTTGTGAATAATTTTCTTGTCTTAGTCTTTCGTTCTGTTCCTGAAGTCGTGCATTTTTCTTTCTCTCCTGATCAAGAGCCGCCTGTAGATCTCCACATACATTCATCACAGGACTAATGGTGTCTTTGCCTTTATTTCCAAATAATTTACCAGTCTGACATAAATATTCGAAAATGGTAATTAAACATTTGAAAAGTTATTTTAGTTGTTGAGCACAATATATTTATCTGGATTTTTTTATCAAATGGCTTTGTTTTCAATCATCTCCTTTTATTCATAATCATACACAAGAATTTATCCAACTGTCCATTGACTGTAGTTCCATTTTATTTAAGCATGTTATGGGTTTTTCTCTTAAATTTTGATTTTGTCCTTGAAAAATATTCATGGAGTTATTATTGATTGGTGGTTGTTCGTGGAAAAAATGAAAATTCATCTAAAGCAATTAAATTCTGCTTGAACATAATTACAAAAACTTCTATTTAAAAGGCTGACCACACCCTATACCGCACATGCATGAACCACTTTCAGAAGATGTGCATCTTTGTACAGATGATTTAAACATTTTTGTCTAGCTATCTAAAATGTGCAAAACTTGAAGTTTAAAAATTAAAAGCAAAACTTTATTGTTATTACCAAAACACTTCTAAGTTCTACATGTACATATGTATGTTTTGTTGATTAAAAAAATGTAAATATACAAATACATAAACATCTGTTATATCTATATCTTAGTTTCAGGTTTGTTGCTGACACAAACAGAAAAGCGTTTGAAAGAAGTGCAGATATTCAACATACAAAATTTGCTCAGCTAAGCTCTAAGCTTTTTTTCTAAATTAACCTTCATAAGCTTACATCAGGAATGCTTGAAGCAACAAAAATATGGATTAATTGATGTCTGAGGAATAGGGAATCAAATGCCTACTAAAGTTCAAGGTAAATTAAACCGAAGAGTTTGTCCATTGGACACCACACCCTGCTCACGCTATCACAATTCAAACTGTGAAATCTGGGTCAAACCCTTATTTTCCATATATAGCTTGCTGTGTCGGTGTGAGCCAAGGCTCCTTGTTGAAGACCGTACTTTGACCTATAATGGTTTACTTTTATAAATTTTGACTTGGATGGAGAGTTGTCTCATTGGCACTCATACCACATCTTCTTATATCTATATATATATATTAAAAAGATCACATCATAATGAACTTCTGAACTGTTTCAAGTTGATGTGACCACAACTTCATGATAAACTACCTTACACCAAAACCCTAACCTGATATGGGTAATTATTTTAGTGTTTTCTTTAAGCTCTATCAGTACGAAATGGCTATAATATTCAGTTGTACAAAATTTCTGATTATTATGTCATACTTACATCCTGCTATAATAAGAATAACAACACTTAATTCAATTATAACAAAGTTCAACCATTTATCTTTTACCTAATACAAATTAAGATAACTATTTTGAGCTATTCAAGAAAAAGATGAATTTAAATAGATTAAATCCCAAAAGTTTACAAGTCATCTTTTATACATAGTTGATATTATATCCCACTTTCTGTTCTTTCTTTTTCAATTGCAAGACTTCAATGCCAAGAGGACTCTACCTGGAAGAAGCCGTAATTAAATTCAAAAATTCAAATCTGAAAATAGCTTTACTTATCAAAAATATTTCATCCATAATTCATTGTCATTGATATATAGATGAAACTTGAAGTAACACCATTAAAAATATTCACTGAATATGCTAGTGAAATAAATGACAAACCTTCTTCTTCTTGCCATTATTTTCTTTATATAATTCCTGCAGATAATCGATTAACTTCATCTGTTGATTTAAAGTACTCTCAAATCTGTATTTATCTAAGAAATGTAATCCCTGAAATAACAACAAAAATACCACATAGAGGAAAAGCAAGAACATAAAATGCACAATATTATCGTGAAATTGTTACCCCAACGAAATAAGGAATGTATGTTAAATTTATTAACTTTTATATCTGAAACTACAAACAAACAGTGCTGTCAAGGAAATGATCACCCTTAAATTACTGAATACACTTAACTGTTCAGGAATGTTAACCCTGAAAATAACCGTTTTAACTAAACTGTTCAGGAAATATTTGCCCTTAAATTACAGACTTCTGTACTATCATTGAAATGTTGACTCATTAAATCTTCTAACACTATACTAATGGGTATATTGACTGAAATTACTGAAAAAAATGTCTATTATGGAAAATAATTGATTATAAATCCCCCAATAGAGTATAACAACTTTGAAATTTTATTACTGAAAAGACTTTTGAATCACACAGTACTATTAAGGTCCTTTTGACCTTTAATATTAACATTATTAACTGAACAGCATGTATTATAAAGAAAAGCTTAAAAGACATTACAAAAAAACAAACAAGAGCTATTCACGAAATAACTTGCAGGATGGTCCTGTTTATCATATACAATAGTTTTATAAATATACTTGTAAGGCCTCTGCAAAATTTTCCAGATCAACTTTTTCTCCAAATATCATTTCAAATTTGTCCATTGCATCTTCAAGTCCATGTTTAAGCTTCAGGCTTCTCTTCCTTAATTCTTGATTTTCTGTTATCAACTGGGATATCTGGTGGAAAAAAAGATGCTTAAAATGTAAACTGTGGATCTCTATAACACATTATTTAAAATGACTTGAATAGGTTGATGATATTCATATCAGGGCTTCCAAAAAATATTTGAGCCAGCCGGACATTTATTGTATTATCCCGATTTTAATCCCTTAAGACTTAGTAACAAAAGGCAATCATGGTAATCAGATGGGCATCATATAAACAATGATTGACATACAAATGATATTAAACTTGACTTTTAATATAAATCCAATGTTCTGACGTAAACTGTTAAATTGACAGTCCATCATTTGAAGTGTGCAACATCATCATACTAATATCTGCCATAGACTCTTTATTTGTGCAAAATTACGCTTTCAAAAGCTTTACTTTTGTTTTTAAAAAGCACATTTTCCTTATACCTATTCTTGACTTGACAATGATAAAACACAAACCAGAGACATATACGTAAAATCCGTGTACGTTTCCAAAAGCAGGAGCAAGTTTTAAGTAGCTCTTTTCTTCAAGAAGATACTTGAAATGAACATTAAAGGTATCAATGATAATTTTTTAATAATAAAGATGCATTATTAAATCTCACACCTGCACGCATGCCCGCACTAGAACAATATGGCATTGACGATTTTTTGCTTAAAACCTTTATTACTACCTTTTAAAATTTTTCATCAAACCATATTTATATACACATTTCTGATAATCTAAATCTTCTTGACTAAATTAATTAGATGCAAACTGCAGAAATTTATGAAATAACTTTAAATAGACAGATCAATGTCCGATACAAAATAGTTTTCCTGTCACCTGAACAGGTAAATTTCAGCTGTCAAACAACTAATCAACCTTGATTGTAATACACCTTATCGCTATTTAGTCCAATCCGGAAAAAACAGTCATTAAGACAACTTCCTGTTTGGGTCAACAGGCCTTGAACAGGTAAACAACAAAGGTCATCAGTAACGAGCTGAGGAAGGGAAAAATTTAGAAAGCGATCAATACGAAACTTTGATAGATTATGATCCACATTTTCGAAACTCAAATTATAGTCAAAAAATATTTTGTTTGAAGTATTTACGATGTTTTAAACAGATCTCATTAAAAAGTATCATGCATGGTGCATTGTTTAAACAGGGCCCCAGATAGCTTTAACTGGATGAAAAGGTTATGTAATTTTAGAACTTATCCGGAATGGAATAAATAGCGATTAGGTGTATGAGAGAAAAAATAAATATCTATACTACAGTACTATCTACTTCATCTGTTTACCTCTTCTTTCAATGTCCTTTTGTCGTCTGCTTCCACTTCCATCAAACGTTTATAATTGTCTGATGACATTTCCCTTTTCTGTAGCTGTTCACGTAACTGACCAATCTGAAACAAGTTATTTTTGGTTAGTGATTTTTTTTTTTATTTGTTGAATATGTAAATTCATGTATATCATTATCCTACAAATGATAACAAATCCAATGTCAATTGAAATTGCATTTTACATCATTTATGACATGAACAAAGGAATAATATCCAATTGGTTGTTGGCTGTTTATTGTAAAGTGGCAAATGTTTGATGGAATTGAACAAGCTGTTAATAAAAAATTAGTAGGAAAAACCCTGAAAGTCGGATTTAATTTCCAAAAATTATGCCAAATAGGTTTACAAGTTATCGTAGAATTGCTTTTCAATAAATTAAAAAATAAAGATTTTTACAGTGTAAAAAAAGTATAGGTACCATTACAAAAAGTCCTGAAATTTCATTAGTTTGCAATTCAACTTGATTGGTTATTGCAAAAAATAAGTTTAACATTTAACAACTATTGATATTAACTAGAATTATTTCAATTTTTGACAGCATTTATCAAATGTTCTTGGCAAAATGATTTAAATTTTGTTAATATAAAACATGTATTCATACATTTTTTTTAAAATATTTTGTAGCCAGGTAAAAGTTCACAAAATTTAAAGTTGGTTCTGAATGTATCTTCAAGAAAGTAAACACCTGAATGAACTCACCTCTATAGTATGTTTTTGTGCTGTTCTATTTGCCTCCCAGACTTTGTGATTTAGCTCCTCAACTTCAGCTTTATGTAAGGCCTTTGACTGTTGTACCTGCTCTTTCATTTTGTGCATTTTCTGACTAGCAGATTGCCTACAATGTTAAAACAATAAAAAAAGTTTGAATGACAAAGTAAAATACTCAATATCTTCTATTAATATTTGAACACGAGCAAGTCAGCATTTTTCATTTTAAAAGTAGAGATTTATGAATACCGGTCATGATCTCAAATATGTTAAATATGTTCTAACTTTCATTACTTCTTGTAATCCTGTTAATCAAAGGTTTTGTTAACATTTAATTACTGTAATTTCAGAAATTATTGTGTGCACGAAGAATGGACAAAAATGTGAGATTAATCATTGCTATTTCAGGAAAATCTATATGTTGGTATATGCATAAGATATCAGATTGTGAGATCTATTTATTGTGATACTCAACCAGTCACATTATTCATATTCATAAAAACCACATCCCTGAAGCCATTAAAAAAACACTGTTCTTGATAAGCTGTAATTAGCGATAGGGAAGTTGTGGAAAAGAAGGGGAACATTTCAAGTCCAGAAACAAGTTCTGATAGAATCTTGGATAGCATATCAATACGCCAGCGGTATATAGATAAATGACAAGTCATCTTCAAAAACTGTATATCTGCATATTTTATAACCATGTTTACATACATACTCCTCATTCTAAGATAGAGCAATGTTATATATATATGAATGCTACCATGTATCATCATATGATTGATTGCTGGTGTTAAATGCCACTTTAAGCATTATTGGCTATATAGTGGCGATCAGTTTTTATTGGAAGAAGAAAGAGTGCAAAGAGAGAAGCATAGACCTTTGGCATTAAAAATGACAATCCTAGTCAATTAAGGTAGTAGTTGAACCACCTGTCATGTGCAGGGTTCAAACCCACAACCTCAGTGATACAGTAGAACTACTTAGACAACTCGGCCACCAAGGCCCCTATGTATAATTATATATTTCTGTAGCACGAAAACTGACAATCCTAGTCAATTAAGGTAGAAGTTGAACCACCTGTCATGTGCAGGGTTCAAACCCACATCCTCAGCCTTTACAGGCTAGTGATACAGTAGAACAACTTAGACAACTCAACCACCGAGGCCCCTATGCATCATTATATATTTATGTACTACATGTTCAATAAAAAAAAAAATTTCATGTTGTTTACATGTGAAGATATATAAAATCAACTCACTTTGCCTGTTCTAAGGCATGAATTTTCTGGGTAGTTCCTTCAATTTCATCTTCTCTTTCATCAACAGCTGTCTCAAATGTTTTCCTGTGAAGACAATAAAAACATCATAAGTATACATTAAATGAGAAATCAAAACTTGGATTAGTTAGGCCAATTAAAATTAATTGATAGGTTTTCATCCTCACCTGCCCCATTTTTTTTTTCAGGAAATTTAGACTGTTAATGATATCCAAAGCGCAAGAATCGTGGAACACATTGGTACAAAAAACATGATTGAAATAAAGAAATTGACATGAACTTGTGACCAGATATTGTGTACAAAAAGTTGGCCAACGTACAAAATGTATTATAATAAGACCTAAAATTTACCCCAAGGCTGTCGCTTTTTGTTGACCAACAGCAAATACCCTCTGTCCCTAGCACCCCAATAGAGTGATTAAACAAATTCTTCATTTTGGTTAAGTTCATGTTTTACATTATATTTGCACCTTGCATAAGAATCTTAAAATCATTAACCTTAGTATTTTCAACACAGTTTGAGTTTTAATTTCACTCTACTCATAATACTAGTGTTGCATACCAATGCATAGGCTTCATTTTATGGGCACTACAAACCATAGCTTATTAGCAAAATAAATTTAATGTACGTAGTCTAAAAGAGAGCATTTCTCCACCTTTTTTGCTATTTACTGAAAATAGGTTTCTAAAGCAGCAATTACATGTAGAACAATGGTTGCCAATCAGAAATATTTATTTAAAAATTCAAAAAATTCTGTAAAATTCCTTATATATACATGATATATAGATAAGCTTTTTATTACACTTGCATATGAAGAACACAGTACAAAGGGGTTTCAGAGGATATAAAAATTAAACTTTGCCGGGTTGATATTGAAAACAAGTGAAACTGAGAGCTACTGTTCACTGATGATACCCCCACCCCAAATATTTCGGTAAACAGGAAGTTGTTGAAAAAAAGCGGGGATAAAATAAAATCATCCCACCCGCACCATCTACAAAATTAATTTTAGTTGGCCTTACAATAAACGATTCATAAATAGGACGAGAACAAATTAACAATGAATCCAATAGGAAGGTTCTGCCAGTGTTAGACCAGGATGGAAGGGGGACATCTGAACTGCCACTGTCAAGAAGGGTATATCTTGGTTAGGGGCAGATTATTTGCAAGGCAACATGTCCCTTACAGACCCCTCAAAAGGTACCAAGGGTTTATTAATGTGCAGAGAGTATGGTACTGTTCCTACTTAAGGCATAAGATTTGATCCCCACATTCCAATTGCTTATTAATAATCTCAGTACAGCCAAACTTAGGTTCCTTAGTCATATCCTTCAGCAGAAAAGTTGGGTCAGATTTTCTATACCCTGGTATACCCTCATGGGCAACATTAAATGATGATGTAGGATAAAGTCCATATGTGGCAGCTAATTACAATCACGTTAATGTACTAATGTTACTGCACCAGATACTCATTTCCACAATTAATTTCTCTTCAGTAATGCAAGGCCAAAATATTTGAAAGCCAAAACTTAATAGAAACTTTGCAGGGCTGATATAATGGAAATGGACCAAAAGTATTGCGAAATCAGGTCAAATCTGTATATTCATAGAAATGGCTACATAAGAATGCAAAAACTGACAAACTTTTCCTGTATTAAGTGTATTAAGTATCAGCAGCACTGTGTCACATAAATATTAACATATTAGCATTCCACTATCTATTATTTGACCTCTTACCAATCTTAATCAATGAGTCACTATAAACAGATACAAAAAATGTTTAGGGCAATTTAGCATTCATCTTTTACCTGGCATTGTGACAGAAATTAAATGTTGTTTAGCATGATGCATGTTACTTACTTGATATTATCCCATTCCACATGTCGTTCCTCATTTTCTGTATTAATGGCTTCTAAATCTTTGATTTGCTCTTCAAGCTCTCCACAGATCAGCTGAAGTTTTTCTACTTTCTGTTCAAATTAAATTTGTTTAATATTAAGAAAATTCTAAAATTAATTACATACAAAGGCATATAGACATTGGTTGCACCCTTTAAAAATGCCAAACCTGCATATCATTTCAATTATAACCTGCTTTTAAAATAAACCACCTTTACAATATTTTAATACCTGCCTCCCCTCTGCATTATCCATGGAATAGGCCTTATAAAAATAGGTAAATTTACATTTCATTTAGTCTAAAAGAATTTATTCATCTAAACTATTCGATAAATAGTTTTATATTTTAGCATGGATGACTTGAAAAACCCTTTTACACAACATACCGTGATTTCAAGTTCCAACTGATGTTCCTTTTGCTGTAAAGTATCTTTCAGTGTCTGTTTTTCCATAAAGGCTGAGCTTTTCTCTCTCTGGAGTTTACTAATTTTTTCATCTTGCTCCTAAAATGTGATAAGTATATGAGACAAACCACATTTTTGACACTTTAAAATGAGCAACTAAAGACTGATGGAATAAGGTTTTTTCACTAAAAATTTGTAAGGGTTCCACGGAACCCAGTGTCTCGCCTACTTTTTCTGTTAATCGCAGGCTCAACAAAAATGAGGAAGTAAATCAATAAAAATATTCCTCTTGATACTATCTTTTGATTGTAAGAAGCTTCTGTCCAAGTTTGGTAAAAAATCAGGATAGTTTATGAATCTAATAAATGTTTAAAAACATTAACTGCAGACTGAATGTAATGTTAACTGGAAGAAAACAAAATTTCCTTCTAGATACTAGCATTTAATCATAAACAAGCTTCTGTCCAAGTTTGGTACAAATCCAAAATAGCATAAGAAAGTTATTAAAATTTTAAAAACTTCAACCACCTAGTGAATGTGTTGTTTCCTGGCAGAAAATCTGTCCATTTAAAAGTAAAATATGGAAAAAATGGATTTATCTTTTTTACAAAATTTCCTTCTAGATACTAGCTTTTGATCATAAACAAGCTTCTGTCCAAGTTTGGTACAAATCCAAAATAGTATAAGAAAGCTATTAAAATTTTAAAAACTTTAACCACAGAGTGAATGTGTTGTTTCCTGGCAGAAAATCTAAGTCTATTTAAAAGTAAAATAAGGAAAAAAAGGATTTTTTTTTTTTTTACAAAATATTCTTCTGGATACTATCTTATGATCATAAACAAGCTTCTGTCTAAGTTTGGTACAAACCCAGGATAGTTTAAGAAAGTTATTAAAATTTTAAAAACTTTAACCACAGAGTGAATGTAATATTTCCCGGCAGAAAAACTAAGTCCATTCATAAGTAAAATACGGAAAAAATGAAATTTTATTTTTACAAAATTTACTTCTGGATACTCTCTTATGATCATAAACAAGCTTCTGTCCAAGTTTGGTAGAATCCAGGATAGTTTAAGAAAGTTATTAAAATTTCAAAAACTTTAACCACAGAGTGAATATTTGTGGACGCCGCCGCCGACGGAATGTAGGATCGCTATGTCTCGCTTTTTCGACTAAAGTCGAAGGCTCGACAAAAACAATGTCATTTAAAGTGAATCAATATATCATTTTTGTTAAACAAGATTATCAAAACAAGTTAAATTTTCTATTAATCCACAGTGCCGATGCTACAATTGGCCGTTTCAAAATCTAAAGGATTGTGGGTAATTTCATTGTTCGTACACCAAAAATAAAAAGTACATCACATCATTGGTTGAATTCCCATTGTTTAGGACGTTGTAAGCCAATCAAACATTTTTGTGAACGCTTGTGAAAATATTACCAAGAATTCGCTAGATTCTAAAAAGGTGAATACCTCCAACAGTCCCTGACAACAAACCCATACATCCTCATCCTTTGTCTTCGGTGGATAGCTGTGTCATTGGCAATCATACCATATCACCTTATTTTTATTTTTATTTTAATTTTGTGGTTTGGTTGCCTGTTAAATATTGCAATAAAATTATTATATTTTACACTGACTTTATATTAAACAGTAACTATATATTACCTTGATATGTCTATTCAAGTTGTCCCTCTCAGACTTCAATACATTAACTTCATCGTCATTATCTGGACCTGATGTCTAAAAATAGAAAATATAATTGAAAAAAAAACTTTATAGAATCCACAGCTTTAAATATTCAAAATATATCTGTGACATGTGTAAGAATAAGAGAAAAGCATATACGTGTAAAATATTTCTTTTCTGAAAACTTCCATATTCTCTAAAGCTATGTCTTAACCATGTGCAATTCCTAAATACGTCGTCTAAAAATAGGATTTTACTGGCTGTATTTGACATGTTCAATCAAAATTTTCTTTCTCGTATCATTACAGTATATAAAAAAGTTATTGTTTGTTGTCCTAAGAAAATTCTCCCAATTTCTTTGCTGTTTTAAGTGTAATATGAAGGTGTATACTGTTCGTTAAGTTTTTTGTTTGAGCTCTTTTTTATCTAAATTTTATCATGCACTTTCTGAAGTCAGTTTTGCAAAAAGATTTCTTTTTTCAATTTTATCATGGGATTAAATTTTTCATGTTTACATGTTCAAGTTTCCTTATACTTTAATATAAATACAAAATTCTCAATGGTATAATATGTTTGGTTTCCAAGGAAATGTTTAAAAAGGGCTGTTCCATAAAATTTGCATATATTATTCTGTTTTCCAAGTAATCAAATATGAAAACATTTTACCGTAAAAAAATAATGTGGCATGCAGGGTTCAAGTTTACCTCTAATTTGTGAAGTTTAAGTTGTAATTCTCTTATATCAGATTCCAGCCTCTCCCTCATACTTTTCTCCTGTCTCTGAGTAGCAGCCAACAATGACCTAGCTTCACTCAGTGCCAAATTAGACTCCTCTAGTTCCTGCCGCACCTCCTGGATAGCTTCTTCATGATTTTTTCTTTCCTAGAACAATAAGAGTTAATTTATTTTTAGGATGCTAAATGTGAATAGGCAACAACTCTCTTAATATAGGAGATTCCTTATAAAGACCTTTCTTAAAGCAAAATCTGCTTCATTTTTCTACTATTCATAAGCCTAATTTGGACTTCTGTTTTGATCATAACCAACTAATCGGAATGTAGTTTTATCATTCATTGCATAAGTTACAGGTCAGGAGTGATTGGGAAAATAACTTGCTCAAACAAACATGTCTATGATATTTGTTAATAATACATATTAAAGGATTAAAAATACATAATACAATACAACAGACCACACAAAACCACCAATAAACAACTCCTCTGAAAAATGATGAACAATCAAAACAAACAAATAATGGTGCAGAAAGCTTAATTTCTAGACATTTATTTATAAAGATGCTCAAACAATATGCAAATTTGTACCTACACATTTAGATCCAAAGATAAGAATAATCAATCAATATACACAGTACCTTCTGGAACCTTTCCTCCACATGTAAGACATCTTTTTTAGTGTCTGTACTCTGTCTCTGTTTTTGTTCTAAGTCACGGTTCAGTTCAGATAACTTGACCTCTGTTGACCTTTTCTCCAGACGTATTCTGTCTAATTCTTCCATCAGACTTTTAATCTTCCCGTCTTTCTTGCTGATTTCTTTTGTCTGTTCTTCAAGGTTTCTTAGTTTGATCTCCAATTGTTCCAATGTATCTTGCTGTGTTTTAATTTTACTTTCTAAATACCTGTAAACATAAATCTTAATGATTTATGGTACTTATGATACTTTTTGCATAAACAATTTGAAAATAATCCAAATGAAACTTTCAAGTTGATGTAATTTTCTTTTTTTTCCAACTTAAACATTTATTTATAGGTTATTACATACCTTAACCTCAGTTTTTTTACTGAGATGCAATACTGATTAAACTATATTATAAGCCATTAAATGCTTAAACTCTAGCCAGTTTAACTAAATGAATATGTTAAAATATGTTAAGGTAGTATAAACTTCATACAAAATATCTCCAACATTGAATCTATAATCAAGGAATTATATTCTAACTTTTGTTTCTGGTTGGTATTCAAATCGTGACTTTAATTTAACATTTTCAATTATAGAAGACTTTTGCATGTGAACATCCATAAGTAAAAGTTTTCTACAATGGAACCTGCAAAAGGAATAATCAGTATTAATAAATATTGTACAGGAGAACTGAAATATAACATGTTCATCGCCCTTCTATTTTAAAAACAAGGCACCAAGGAATGGCACAAAGAAATCAAATCTAAGAGTTGGTGCCAAATAATTGTGTTCAGTTTGAACATATATGAAGATTATATAGATGAGTATTCCATTTTCATAAGATATCCTTGAATTAATTGTATGCTTTATGGAAAAGTCTTCACAATAAGACTGCTTATACGAATTTATTATTGGTTTACCTGTTTTCTTGTCTGAGATCTTCAGCATCTTCTACCTTATTCCAACGTTTAGAAGACAATATTTTCAAATCACTTAAATCTTTCTCAAGATTCTGCACTTTAATTTCTAAACTATCTCTTTCATGTTTGAATTTATCAGCAGTTTCAGCTTTTTCTGCTGTCTGTTCAAGTTCTTTCACTTTTTCAAATTTAATCTGTCTTTTTCTAGTTTTACTTTCTGAAATTCTCTTTGGCCATTTTGCAATTCCTCCACTTGTTTTTCAAGACGATTTACTGTATCTTTTGATTTTTTAAAAGAAGTTTCAAGAGTGTCATTCTCTAACTGTAAATCTCTGACTTTTTTGTCCAAGTCAAATTTCTCCTTCTTACATTGATCCATCTTTTCTTGAACACTGTTAAGTTTTTCTATATTATCTACAACTTCTGTTTTTAATCGAGAAATTTCGTCTGTTTGATTATTCGAATGCTTTGATGTTAATTTCAGCTTCTCTATTTCTTCTTCCAGTTCCCTGATTTTAACCTTCAGGTCACGATTTTGTTTTTCAAGCTCTGCAAATCTTTCATTTGAAAGTTTAGTCCTATAAAACAGCAGTTCAACTTTAAATGTACAACATTTCTTCAAAAGAATGAAACTTCATGTAAGTCACTACAATTCTATAAAATTTTATTACATGAAATTCAAATTAACTGAAGGTGTACTTTGTCACTGTACTGCTGAATCTTCACTTTTTGTAATAGATCTAATAAAAATGTGTATATTTTTGTTTTAGAAGCACTTAAAATGATAAAAGATATATAGTCAAATTTGACTTTCTGCAGACAGACAAAACATCTTACCGAAGTTCTTGCTGTTCCCTCATCTTCACTCTCAAATCAATGTCTCTGTCTCTTGTTTCATTCAGTTGTCGCTCCACTCTTTCTAGCTTGCCGGTCTGTCTTGAAATTGTCTGTGTAACATTAGCAATAACCTATTAACAAATGACATGTCATCCATGGGTTAACCATCACCTAAGGAGCTATATTGCCATGCTGCTAGGAGCTATATATTGGGGTTAATCATACCTGCTAACCCTATCCCAGTTCTAACAATGGTGGCTGGTGCATTCTATTGGACATCATTGGGATTAAATGTTTCAAATCCAAACGGGAATCAAAAACAAACAAAAAATGAAAAAATATTAAGTTTCATAAAGATCTATATATCAATTTCAAAATGATATTTTTGGTAAATATTAAGCTTATTAATTGTTCAATCCTATTAAAAACTTAAATTGCATTTTCCCTTGGCAAAGCTGACCTTAGAAAATTTTACATGCACTGGAAGAACACTTCTAACATTTTGATGCTCATAAATGTTTTATGCATTTGATTTCCAAAACTTTTGGGTTCATGCATACCTGATAAAGGCTACTGAGTACTGAAATCTGAATCATATTTTAATACATTAAAATGGTATCATGTTAACATTTAAGTATTGGCCAGACCTGGAAATTCCAACCAGTAAGCATACTATCTCTTAAAGAAATATATCTATTCCAAATCTAAACTGATTCATTCAATTTATTCAGTTAAATCATTGTAAAAATTTTAAACTAAGAAAATCTTTCTAGAAGGTGTTTCTTCAACAAAATTTTGAAAAGGTTAGCAAGTATGTGTTTATATGAGCATCATGCTACTACAAGTATAGATACTAAAGATGCTTCTATGAAATGTATTCCCCTTTTCTCATTACAAAGTTAATAGAATATACTTACCATTTGGACAGGTATTTTTCGAATAGCTTTTATAGAAATTTTAAATGTTATCCATTTAACTTCTTTATAGACATTTCTAAATAAAATATTGTTTATTTGAATTGTGATATTCCATAATCCTATTTTATATCATTGCTAAAATTTTCAATGGCCTAAAATCCCATTACAAATACAGCACTATCAGTGTAAGAGAGACAACACTAACTAATTTTAGATAAGGAGACAGCTTTTGGAATAAAGAAAATAGGGAATACAGATAATAAAAATGCATGTTAATGATATAAATATACAAAAGGTAATTCTAGCTACAAACTACATTAAAACAACAGTTTTAGTAAATTAAATTAATATAATAATTATAGAAATATAGAAAAAAGTCATCTAAATACATATGCAGCCATGCAAAGCAAAGCACATAAATGTAATTCATTTAAAATAACCAAAAATGATATATGCATGTAGGATTATATCAGAAAAGAAATTTTTAAAATAGTAAACAGAAAGTAATAGACAATCATTTTTCTTTATATAAACAGTACTTTAAATATTTGACCATTCTATTGCAGTTATCTCATTTACATGAGGAAAATAATTTGGTATAAATCTGTGAAAAAAAGAACTTGTTGGGTAAAACAAATAAGTTAAGTCTGGTAACAAACCCAAACACACAAATTTACTTCAGTAACAGTAAAATTTAGAGTTTTAAATACTTATGCTTTTCATAAAAAAAAATGACAAAATTTCTGTATGCAACTGATATGATTAATTACCCTCTCTTGTTCTGCCACTTTAAATCTTTTATCTTCTAATTCTTGTTGGTGTTTGCTGACATCACTCCGTAACTTTCTCTTGTCTTCATGTAACAAATCAACTTCTATCTCTAGAGTCTAAAAATATATAATATGTTTTCATTGTCTAGGGAGTAACTGTTTTTTTAAAAGATGCTGTGAATTAGGTAGAAATGCAAGGCTTATGCAGCAGGGCTCATTCTAGCAGGCGACTGGAGCGAAGATGTCCCTTTCCCAACCATCACTTCACTATGCCCGACAGTCAAAAGCGCTAACTTGTTGCCCTGGTGTTCACAATACTCGCTTTCAGTCACTTTCGCCGTCTGCAATTTTCAATTTTTACCAAGTCGATGAAACAGCAATTTTTCATTTATAAGTAAAGAAATTCAAAGACATAAACGATTTATTTCTTTAGAAAAGAGGAGAAAGTATTGACTTTACAGATTGATTGTATGTTATTTCATACAGATAACTTTTTAACACTTTCGGTACTTGTTACTCGAGAGAGTACATCAAAACATTCTGATTTTGGCAAAATAAATTTGTTACTTCATTAGAACGTGTTGAAAATTCCTTTCCAAATAGCTTGTCAAACCGTTTATTTTGTAAATTTTCTTCATCCGCCATTGAAATAATTGTGCGAACTATGGATCGGAGGCTGGATTGATCGGAACCGGACCAGATATGATCAAAATCCATATTCTTACAATAATAACTACGAATGCACAAATGGCACTGCTGACAGAAGAATAATGATTCCAAAAGGGAAAATTACGCATTCCACACGCATTAACAGACTTTTGGTAAGAGCTCCTTGCTTAATGAATATATTTTCATTTATAAGCATTGTTTCATTTAATTAATTAAAGTTGCTTAACTTTGTTAAATTTATATATCTTTTAAATGAGAAAGAATGAATTTCATAAACATGATAAACAGAATAGTTTTTAAATTGAATTTTTATTTGATATATTAAACATTCTTTTCCTTTTTGATATTAAAAAAAGTTCTTTTTAGTACTAGATATTTAGTTGGTGGTTTTTGACAAGAGGACCTATATAATTGTGCAACTAGAAATGATAAACTGAAACAACTGTTACTTTAATTGTATACTCAGGTATAAATTGAACAATATAAAAAGTAGATAAATAGAATACATATGACCCTTTTTATTATAGTAAAAATTTTAAAACAAGAAATGATTGTAACAGGATGCTGTTACGAAGTCTCCCAAACGAAGCTCCCATAATTCGTCATTCCCAGGTTCGCCTGACATTGGGCAAAGTCCAGTAAAGTTATATGCATTAGTAATGCCTGGGGACTGACCCTGTATATCAGAGCCAGCAAACAAGCACTTCTCCTTCAAATCTCACCACTTCTCCCTAATAGATCAAAAAGAGAAGTCACTTCTCCCCGTGATTCTGAAGTTGTGTGTGCCCTGTGCAGTGTTTTTTTATCCTGTGTAAAACAAGATTGATTAATTAATTCATTTGTGTTTAAAGCCACTTTCAGCACTATTTCGTAGCAGTCAGTTCTTATTGGTGGAGAAAGCATTTGATATATTCTAGACAAAGCATCAAAATATTCATTTTATACTGATAACTATCTATAAAACTATTCCTTTTAGAGAAAAATAAATAAATATAAATTTTAAATGTCATTTTTCATAAAATCCAGAATAGATTGTATTACAACACAAAATAATATTTTGAATATTCTGTATAATCATAACATCCAGAGAAAAAAAAGAAGAAAAATCACTTTGAAAAGGTAAATGTGTGTGTAAAATGTGATTAGGACATCACCTTAAATTTAACATTTGGTTTTCCAAATTATAAATATGTAACCATGAAAATGGAACATAATAACATATGCATTTAATATATACACATCTTATTTAAATTGACACGGTTCTCCAACTTGGAGAATAAACAGCTGCGCCATGAGCGCATGATACGCCCTTCGTCTTGTGTGTGAATTTTTATGCAATAAGCATAAATAGTTTCTGACATATGGCGTGACATGCGAAAACCCCTTTTTTTTTTATTACAAAAACTCAATATCTCTAAAATAAAATTTTGAATCAAAACCAAAGAGTATACAGATCTTTAGATTAATATAACTAAGTAGTGTGTAAAATTTTAAGCAATAATCATAAATCGTTTTTGAGATACGGCGCGACATGTGAAAACCCCCCTTTTAAAAAAAAAAAAATCAATATCTCTAAAATAAAATTTTGAATCATCACCAAAAAGTATACAGATCTTAAGGTTAATATAACTAAGAAGTGTGTAAAGTTTTAAGCAATAATCATAAACTGTTTTTGAGATACGGCGCGACATGTGAAAACCCCCCCTTTTAAAAAAAAAAAAAATCAATATCTCAAAAATAAAATTTTGAATCAAAACCAAAAAGTATACAGATCTTAGGTTAATATAACTAAGAAGTGTGTAAAATTTTAAGCAATAATCATAAATCGTTTTAGAGATACGGCGCGACATGTGAAAAACCCCTCCCCCTTTTTTTACAAAATACTCAATAACTCAAAAATAAAATTTTGAATCATCACCAAAAAGTATACAGATCTTAAGGTTAATATAACTAAGAAGTGTGTAAAGTTTTAAGCAATAATCATAAACTGTTTTTGAGATACGGCGCGACATGTGAAAAACCCCTCCCCCTTTTTTAACAAAATACTCAATATCTCTAAAATAAAATTTTGAATCATCACCAAAAAGTATACAGATCTTAAGATTAATATAACTAAGAAGTGTGTAAAGTTTTAAGCAATAATCATAAATTGTTTTTGAGATACGGCGCGACATGTGAAAAAAAACACACACCTGTTTTAGTTACTAAGTCCCATAACTCAAAAAAGTTTTAATCTTATTTTCACCAAAAAGTATACAGATCTTTTGACCATCATAAGAAACAACTATGTTAAGTTTCATGAAATTTGGATAAGTCATTCTCAAGTTACGGTGCGACATGTTTACGCCGGACAGACAGATGGACGGACAGACAGACAGACAGACAGACGGACGCCGGACATTTGTATAACATAATACGTCCCGTCAAAAATTTGACGGGCATATAAAAAGTGGTCACTTTTGTTTACCTTGACCTGTTTCTGTAGAGCATCCTCCTTTTTAGCTGTATCTTCTGATTCCATGTACAGCTGAATACTTTCTTGTAAACTCTGAAACAATATTTATGATATTTGTCACCTTAAATGTGATATGGGGAAATAATGAACAAGTATCTGTGGAATGCATAAATAAAAATAAAGATATTTTTGCACTATAAATTTGTAAGAAACTTTTTTCGAAGCAATTGAAAAGATGGCGGCCACAACTTTTGAAGGACTGGGATTATAAAGTAAAATGAAATTTCAAATTTAATGGATAAAAGCTTAAATTAATAGTGTGAGTTCGAGTAAATTATGTGGACATGAATTTGGCAGATTATGCTTCTTTAACTTTTTCTTTTTTCAAAAAATGTATTTATCATACTTACCCTGATTTTGTTCTTAAGTTCATTAATTTCCTCCTGATAAACTTTAACTTGTTCTAAGAGGTTGTCTTTAGTTTGACTTGAGACATTTGCTCTATGTCTCAACATCTCTATTTCAGAATGTAATTTCTATAAAAAAAAGTTATTTGTTCATTATTTTTCATGTTTTTTTTATAAACGTAAATCAAGATCAGCTTTTTTTTCAATTATCACTGGTAAGAAATGTATGTGTGTTACAGCATATATACTTGAGCATGTGCAAGGAGTAATGAAATTAAGTTTGCTTCTTTGCTAGGTGAATCATTAAATTAATATTATCAATGTTTATTACCCCTTGAAAGGGTAAAAACAGATATTAATAGCCAATAAAAGTATTAGAGATGTAACAAAAGGAGGATTTAAACATCTGTTTGATTATTTATTTTTATATAGGATCACTTAAAAAACAAGCAAACTTAAGTTATATGCCCTATGTACACACTCAAGTAATTCAGCTGTAAAAATGAGTCAAATGCTGTTTTGTCATTAATCTGTACTATCTTTAACATAGAAATGCATTTGTTATGCCTTTTGAGAAAAACTATTTGGATGAACTTTCTTAAACACAAAATATCAGGAATATGATAGTCATTCTCCAGCTGTTCTTCAAGTCTTTGCAGTAAATCTTTCTTGTAATTGTATATATGTGTCTTGCTTGTGATTATAGTTGATCCAGGCAAGACATATATGCTCAGAACACTGCTTGTTTAAGAACTGTATCTTACAATCCTTTCTTTTACATTTGTCAACTAAAATTTATGAGTATATATATTTATCTAATATATTATATAGCTGCGACTTAATTTTCCTACTCCAGTGGTTAGACGACTTATTTTTAAGTACTGTAAATTCAAAAATTATTGCCAGGTTTTTATTATGGCAAATAATGCAACTGGGCTAAAATCCCAATAATAAGAAACTCGCATTCTGATATCTAATACATATATTTGTATGCAGATTTTTCTGTAATTGCAATGATAAATCTCACATTTTTGTTCTTTCTTCAAAAACTGCAATAATAAATGCACGCAATAATTTCTGAATTTACGCTACACTTTTTTCAGAAAAATAAGCATGTCAGCAAAATTCCTCTGTAATACTGAAAAAATGCCTTTACAGTCTTGGGTCTATTTTGATTTACCTGATTTTGTTCTTGGAACTCCTCTTCTTTTTCCCTGAAAAGATCAGCTTCAGAAGAGTGCTTCTGAATTAAACTTGTTAGTTCCTCTATCCTTTTCCTACTTTTTCCATCAGATTTCCTGTTTCTTGACTTGGTGTGAAACAAAACACGTAATTCCTGTAACAGATATAATACATGTAATACTGACTTTGTCTTCAACTTCATAAACATGGGAAAATGACAACTAGTTTTTTTAAAGTCCAGTGGCAATGACAAAATAATAAATAGCCAGATACAATAATAGGTACACAAATCTAAAAACAAAGTTTTGTCTCCAAAGACTCAAAGCATAAAATGTAATACTACCCCCAAATAATAGAAGTTATCTCAATATATTCCATGAGTTTTTTGGGGTGAGCCATTAACAAGGTATTCTTCTTAAAAATATATGTATTTGAATGCAGGCAATATAAAAGCGTACTACAGGGTTGGGCCAAAGCCATGCATGTAAGATAAAAATGATACAAATATTCAAGAATTTAATGCTAATAGATAAATTATAGTATGCCAGTCCAGTGGAATTGCTTCTATGAGAGTAGGTTTGCTTTGTTTTAAAAACTGTAAAAACAATAGGACCACAATTTTTAAATCAATTCAATAAATAAATCTCTTTTTAGCTCAGTATTTCTTTCTTGTGAATATTATAAATAATCAACATGTTCAGTTAGAAATATTATCAAAACAAGAATGCATGCCTTGTCATGCTAAGCATACCCCCACTCGTAATTCAATGTATCAGAAAACATGGAGTAGATGTCTGAAAGATAAGAGAAAAGCTCACTCATTTCAAAATATTACTGTCAAACATTTGCTCAAATATTGAGTCGTTCTGTTCTGTTCTTTTCCATTTGTTTGATGTGTTTGAGCTTTTAATTTTGCCATTTGTTAAAGGACTTTCCGTTTTGACTTTTCCCTGGAGTTCGGTATATTTGTTATTTTACTTTTTTCTGACAGAATAGTGTGACCACAATATTTGTTGGATGAACAGGCGCTAGGTGAAAGCCTCCTACCCTAGGAGTGGGATGATAATAATTTTTGAAATAAATCCAACTTCATTCAAAACTTCATCATAACTATCTAGTTAATTTTTCTTGTAATACATTATACGTAGATTGCATTTTTCTTTACGTCGTTAAAAGTCCTGAATAGGCATGAAATATTTGCCACTGGACATTAAGAAAACTACAATCAGTCAATCTTCTGTAACGATTTAAAAAATATGCAATGATTTTGTTACCTTTTAATATCTAATATTATGAAAAGCATATCTTTCATATATTGATTTCTAAGAAAAGAGGGATAAATCAATGTGTACTAGTACTGCATAGAACCTGCCAATCAAGACACAAATATTCAAACTTATTCTCTGAAATTCCATTAGAGGTAGTAAAATAAAGCTAAAAAAAATATTTCAAAGACATATCTTTTAGTAAACAAAAATATCCTTGTTTTCGAAGACAAATTGAAGATTGAACATACAAAATTAAAAATTATTTTGATATGCTCTTAGTAAGTTCTTGTGAACTAATAAAGGAGACATTAGGTATATGACAATGAGGCTTGCAACCTTCAAAAACACAGAAATAAAAACACACCTAAAGACCAACATTAGGTCTAGTTTATAACAGGCCTTACAATTGACCAACTTCATAAACTTGGTCTGTTTTTAATAGTTCTGTCAATAAGCTTTTTCATTATAAAATAAACCCAAAATTTTGCACCCCTCTACCAGCGAAAACTTTACACAAACCAACACTGATAGTATAGAGTGAGGACCATGTCAATTGAGTTTTTCACCTATAAATATGACCAGAGAACAGATTGTCATCAGTCAGGGGCATTACTTAAACAAGTAATTTTTAAAATTACCTATACAAGTAATGTTGAAAACAAGGCTATTTTAAATATACTTATATAAGTAACTTTTCTAAATATTCTTTTTATAGGTGTCCTTTCATACAGATTTAACTACCTTTAACAAATTTTCACAGTCATCTGGTTATTTTCCCCATGAAATATAAAAACTAATCCTCCTGACACACTAATTGCCTTTCTGACACACTTATTTTTCATTTCCACGCTTTTTGGGTCAAATATTGGTCTTATGGGACTATTAAAATATCATTTTCCTTGAAAATCTTGAAGGTAGACAGATATAAATAGATAGACACTTGTGATTTAATTAAGACTTGAAGTTATTTATAATTTGTAACCCGATACAATTACCTATGTTCCTTAAATAATTGTAATTTATACTAATTCTTTCAAAGAAGTATAAAATAACTTATTCAAGTAATATTTTTGTCATTATTTTTAAAGTAACCTTTTATCTCTATACTCCTCTCAAATTTAATAAATTCTTATTCTATGAAATAAAATGATGTAAAATTTCATGACAACTGCATCTAGTCCATGCTTTTATTGAAATTTAAAATAACTCTATTGAGTAATTTAATAATTTTCAAAAACAAAAATCACCTATATAAGTAACTAAAAACAATAACTTGTTTAAGAAACGCCCCTGACTGGTCATCAATGCTACATTTACACAATCACACCACGACTATAAACAATGTGTACAAATTATAGATACACGTAGTTATTTTAAACATGAAATTCTACTTTCTAGTACTAACATAATACAGATACCTCATATTCCTGGGTAAAAATAATTTAAGCAATATATTTTTAAGCTGTTGGTTTAAAAGAATTTAACCAATCTGGAAAATATGCACACAAAATATAGTGTACACAAAGTGACGTGCATATTGTCAATGTGTGTACAAAGAATATATTAAATTTGGAATTGTACAAAATGGGTACCCTCTAGCAAAAAAGCTGTTCAAAATTGAGTAAGTTTCAATATCTGGAAAATTAGCAGCAAATAGTTGACAAGTGAACAAAAAGTGAGTTGTATTATCTTCAATGTACAAACATTTTAAAAAGCTTGAGAGATGATTACACAAAACTTTTCTAACCTGCCAAACTTCATGCAACCTTCCAAACATGTGACAAAAATTACTGTTTTTCTGTTCTTGTGATCACACAATGACTTTCTTATTCTGGCATCAAAGCAAATATCACCACCACAAATATACTGAATATATATGAGATTCTCTATTTTCTAATTCTGGTTATAAATGGTATGGATATTTGTTCTTTAATAAAATTCTTACTTTGAAATAATCAACAACAAAAAAGAAAGGTAAACAATGATAGGCTTTTAGATGTCTGATATACTATCTGAACTTCCAATCCTTAATTCTATAAAAATATAAATAAACTGTTCTCACAGAGATATGTCTCGCCTTTTTGTAATTTTGATAATGCAAATGTTGAAATTAAAATAGCAATACTTTAACATGTAAGTTATGCAAATATTCAAAGTCGATGAACCATGACTGAAGGTACATGACTAAACAATCTCCATGGAATGAGATGTGCCAGTGCTTATACAACTGCATACCAAATACCTTTGACTTATTATATGTCATTCCCTTTAAACAAACCTAAACACAAACATTAACTTATAAACTATGTAAAAGTTTCAAAGTCAATGAACCATGATCAAGGGTAGGGCTATATAATCTCCATGGAAACGATACTTGCAAATGCCAATAAATTTGCATACCAAATATCATTGACTTAACATTAGCAGTTCATCTTAAACTGATCTAATCACAAACTAATACATGTAAACTAAGCAAAAGTTTCAAAGTAAATAGACCATGACTGAGGGGGCAGGGCCAAATATTCTCCATGGAAATGAGATGTGCTAATGCTTATACAACTGAACACCAATTAACATTAGCCTACCACTAATGGTTCCCCTTGAACTGACCTAATCACAAACTAATACATGTTAACTTAGCAAAATTTTCAAAGTCTATAGACCATGACTAAGGGGGCAGAGCCAAATAATCTCCATGGAAATGAGATATGCCTTTGCTTATACAACTGCATACCAAATATCATTGACCTACCACTAGTGGTTCCCCATAAATTGACCTAATCACAAACTAATACATGTAAACTATGAAAAGTTTCAAAGTCAATAGACCTTGACTGAGGGGGCGGGGCCAAATAATCCCCATGGTAATGAGATGTGCCAATGCTAATACAACTGCATACCAAATATCATTGACTTACCACTAGTGGTTCACCATGAACTAGACCTAATCACAAACTAATACATTGTTGACGCCGCAGTCGCCGACACCGGAAACAGCATACCTATGTCTTGCTTTTTGACTCCGTCAAGGCGAGACAAAAATTGAAAGTCTTAAAACACCTTCTTAAATATACAGAAAACTGACACTTCAAACATGATATTTCTTTAGATCATGAAATTTATTCATGTCTGAAAAAATATAAAATAAGGAGATGTGGTATGATTGCCAATGAGACAACTATCCACCAGAGTTCAAGGTCATCATACAGCTTTCAAGAAGTTATATTTCTCCTAAATTATTGGAACTTTGTACTAATTTCATAAAATTTCTGTTTGTTAAAAAACTTTCAAAACAAATATAAACATAAGTTGACACACTTATTTGCTTTGCCCTTCTGGCCTGTATAGATGATAATTTGCATGCCCAAGAAATTTATTAAAGATCCTTTAAATGTAGCATGATTTGAAACAATATGTGATATAATAATTGTAGTGTCTAAAAACTGTAGAAAAAAAGAACTGTTCATGCTGTAAGCAGTATATTGATTGGTTCCTTTACCTGCAGTTTAATAGATGCTTCAATGGATATATTACAGACCTCTATCATATCAACCTAACAAAAACATACACAATGCTTTACTTAAACTTGGAACTATATTTCTGATAACTGCAGGTGACAGAACTAATTTTGTCTTCAGTTAGAATTCAATGTTTTTGTTTTTGTAGGAATTTTGTTGTTGATGGTAGATTTTTGATAGACTCAGTCTGATTATTTAGAGCTTGCCAGTCTTTGTATATATTGTTTTTGTTGATTCCTCATGTACTCATAACCAACATCTTTTATTCAATTCAAAAGAAGACACCATATTTTCCAGCTTCAGAGGATTTTATTTTTAATTCTGACACCATAATTTTATTATTGATACTAAAGACTTTTACAAGAAACCCAAAACACACTTTCTTATTTTTTGGGGGGTAATGGATGCCATTTAGAGAAAGGGAGAATCAATTATACTGTTCAAAATTAACCATTATATACATAAACACATATATTTTTACATGTTCTATATCTATAATATTTCTACATAGGTACGAGTTCTTAAATTTTTTGTCCTTAAAAATAGGACAAGTCAATTCTAAGGAAACAAGAATGTGTCCATAGTACACGGATGCCCTACTCGCACTATCATTTTCTATGTTCAGTGGACCGTGAAATTGGGGTCAAAACTCTAATTTGGCATTAAAATTAGAAAGATCAAATCATAGGGAACATGTGTACTAAGTTTCAAGTTGATTGAACTTCAACTTCATCAAAAACTACCTTGACCAAAACCTTTAACCTGAAGCGGGACAGAGGGACGAACGGACGCACAGACCAAAAAACATAATGCCCCTAGGTGGGGCATAAAAACTAATAAAAGACAGAGAGAAATATTTTCTATTATACTAACCACTTTATCAACTTCTTGGCAATCCTGTAATTTACTCAAAAGATACTGCTCTCGTTCCATAAACTCTTTTTCTTGAACTTCAAAAGCCTCAACTAAATCGTCCATTTCCTGTCAAAGATACAAGTGTTGAGGTAATATCCTGAGTACATGAGTTCTTTATACCATGTCAACTGACAAATAAAACTGCATGTTAACATTTCAGTTTAAATGATCTGAATAAATTAAGGGGTTATCAGATTAATTTTTGCTGTCTAAATCACTGAAGTTTGAGTGGTGTCCGTCAATAAACAAGAAAAATTACAATTTTGCAGCATGACATCTTTTCCAACATTACACTTGTTTTAGTTATTTTTAATCATTTTCCTCTAAAATTGATTTCTAATGAAAAAAAATCAATTGACCCACTAATATTTTCAGATCATTAAAACAGAAATGTTTACAACAATAATTCTGGTGAGAAATCTAAGAGAAGTCACAATTTAAAAGAGACAAAACTGCCTTTTTTTACTGTTCTTTACGTACTTTTAATACATTTTTAGAAATATTTCTTTTTACCGACTGTATCTCTAATGTATAAATGCTACATATATCAATATTTCTATATTCAGATGTTGTTCAACATGTTCTAAATGCATACAAAATTTCATAAAAGTCCAAAAGTCAGCCCTACTATATATACATTGCCTTTAATCAGACAATATTCTAAAGCATTTTTGTACTGAGGGCTGTTACATAATAACATATGCAAGACCCAGGTAAGGCATTTTGAAATCTCCATTTATGTGTCCATTACAGTGAAAATCCTAAAATTGCCAAAAAAAGGTGGTTACCCAATTTAGAAAGTACTTTCCTGCGTACCATGTATGTTTAAATAAAACTATCATTACAACAAAACAAAGGTTTGAACTTATTTTACACAAAAGCTTTCCAAAAAATAATTGTTATATCAAAATTGCACAAGCTTAGCTTAAATAAGTCTCATAAAGTCTCATAAATTATGCTGTTTTACCTTGAACAACTTCGTTTAAAAACAATCTTTAACAGTAACTTCTTTAATAATCTCTATGTAAATAGATGTGACAACATTCAGGTAAAAAAGTTTACATGTGACATGTAAGGTGTAAAACAACAAAATTTGTAAACAGTATTACAGACAAATAAAACACAAATATATATGTTTTATTTGCTTCTGGTTAAATATCTGTATACAAACCTGTAATTTATTGTTAAGTTCTGCTATTTCAATATTTTTGTCTTCCAGTTGACTTCTCCATGTATCTTCCCTAGTTTCTAGTAATGTCAAATCCCTCTTTTGGTCATCTCTAGATTTTCTTCTTTCCTGAAACAAAAGATTTTGAATATCATATCAAAGATTTTCTATCTAGGATTTCCCAACAAAAGAATACATTGGGAAAAGCAGAAAATATTCTACCATGAATAAATTTATTTTTAACAGCAAATAAGATGTTATTAGGTAAACAGCTAGGTTCTATAAAAATGTGTAATTTTTTACAAGAAAAAAGTCATACAACCTTTGAAACAAGAATAGTGAAAGTTTTTGAAAGTTTGCTTTTTAAAAACTACATTTCCTAATGTAGATGTGTATCCATAAAATTCTCTTCCCCAAATTTGTACATAGCATAATGGTTACTTGTACACATTACAAGCCCCTTTGAATGGAAACGGAAGGATATGGTAACATAAAAAAAATCTTTCATACACATGACCAAACCTAAAACAAGGAAACAGCTGTTTAATTGCTACCTTAAAAATCACAGTGAATACTTAAACGAAGTACAAAATCTCAGACTTTCCATTATACAATGGCTCCTACCTCTAGTTTGTGGGGAATTCTTTGCTGGACATCAAAATGCTACATCTTTGTTTTTTTAAATGTGAATGGAAAACATCTTGTTCTTATCTACAGACAGAATATTTCTGTGTATATACCTTGTCTAAACGACTCTGTAACCTATCTATTTGTTTTTTGTTCTGGATAAGCTGTTCTTTGTTTAACTTTAGCTGCTTATCTCTGTCAGCAATCTTCTTCAACATTTTCTTCTTTTCTTTTTCTAACTCTGCTACCAAGTCTTGTAGTTCTTCTACTTGTGACCTGTGGGAGAAAATAATGTATTTTATTATGGTACAGACATAGAGAAATACTTCAGGACTTACAAACACAATGAAAGATATATGCAATTTTCATAATAGTCAATTAAAAAATTTCCAAATTTCAAATGATTTTTAAAGTTACCGAAAAAATACTCAGTCAAATACAGGAAGAATCAGTGAAGAATTCCCTTGTTGCATGAATGATGCAAATCATATTTGAAAATACCTTAGGATTTCTTCCTCGATTTGTAGAACTTCTGAATTCATATCTTTTATTTCTTCATACAATTTGTAGGCTCTATTTTCCAGAATTTCTTTTTCCTCTACAACTTTATCATATCTGTCCTTTAAATTCTAAAATAATAGCATACAGTTCATCAAAAAAATTAGTAATTTTTTTAATAATTCAAAAGAAACCTTTTCTGTCATTTAATCTTAAATTTATACTCTAGCAGATGATGTTACACAACATACAAAGCTAAATTCAATATATCTAATTAAATACAAAAATGTTTTTTTTTTCTTGATTAGAAAGGGCAACAATATTTATATTTACAGTTTTGTGTAGGTCTTTTATATTTGTTTACATTCTTTGATACATGTTTGTTACCTTATGTCTTAAAAGCATCCTCCCATATCATTTCTTATGAAACTTACAGTTGGTCCACTTGTTTTCTCTACATAATTTACCCAATTCATGTAAATAATATTCAATTTCTTAACACACAAAAATTATGTGAAAGTTTTTCCCATTAATTTTGACAGTTGATAAACTCACATTAGCTTTTGTAATGTAAGACTGCAGTTCATTCTCCAAAGCATCTTTCTCTACTGTAACCTTCATCAATTCCTCATCCTTCTCATGGTAGGACACTCTCCATTTATCTACCTCTGACTGTAAGGAGCACTCCTTCTCTTCTAGCTGGTGGTATTTTCTTTTCAGACCATGTAATTCATTTATTTTTACCGTAAGTGTGACTTCCAAATTACGAGGTGGAGTACTACAGCTGGAGTCTGCACAAGATGAGGTTGTAGTTGAGTCAGCATCACTAAAACTTTCTGAATGTATCTTGATCCTAAAATGAAAAAAACCTTTAGAGCATCAATACTTTCCATGTAGTATTTCATTGCTTTATACTGAAGACTATTTTGTAGATTTGATAAAATTCATTTTGGAAGGTAACAAGGTAAGCAGAGTTTTTCGGTTTCTCCCAAAAGAAAATTTTCTTGAAAACATTTATACACCAAAAAATTAAAATCTACTTGCCTTTTCAACATCAACATTCTATTACTTTCTGACATTTTTTAAGTCTGCTTTAACCCAATAAAATACAAAAATAAAGAATATGTGTCCATGTGAACTGTAAAACCTGGGTCAAAACCGTAATTTGGCTTATATTGTTAAAGTTCATATTATGAACAGGTGTACTAAGTTTTAAGTTGATGTGACAATAACTTCATGGTAATCTACCTTAACCAAAAAGTTTAACCTTATACTTAAGGGACGAATGGACGGACACAGACTGGAGAATATTATGCCCCCTACTATCGAAGGCAGGGCTTAAAATGAGACGGTGCCTTCTTTACATACCCAGAATCTTCTTCTTTTGCATTCCTGACATAGGTAAATCCAACAAAAGGCAAGTCTTTGCCACTAAAATCTCTGGTCTCATTGTATTCATCAAATGCTGGCTGGTATTTAACTCTCTCAAACTCGTCAAAGTTTGATGTATCATCTAAACTAGACAAATGTGGTACAAAGGGTGGTGTGTCTGAAATTGGAAATCACACATTTTCAAAATAAAAGTGGCTGCCATGAAATGTTTCAATAGACCAATTAAAATTAGGTGTTCAAATCTTTCCAGTTCACCACATACTATGGATTCATTAATATACGTCGGGTACCGATTTTAGTGGATTTCTTGGGACAGGGTTTAAGCTAGGATTTTGAGGGCTTTAGTCACTTTTGCGTTGGACCTAGGATATATATTACTATCTATACATTTTGTCAGACTTTGAAGGACTTATGCATACTAGGCAGTTACTGCATGATTTGACTGATGTGGCACTTTAATACGAAGATTAGGATATAAGATCTAGAAATCTAGTTCACAATTTCACTTCAGTTAGTTTCAGGGTACATTCCTAATCAGAAAAAGTTGGGATCCATTAATGGCATTATATTTAAAACCAGGAATCACAGCATAAATGAACTTGTAAGGACTATTTCACTGCATTATTCATACTCATTATCCATAAAAACGTTTTAAAGCAATATTTAGAATTAATTCTATAAAGTTGGAACCAAGGATTTGTACAAATCCATTATTGGAACAATTCTAATGACTTTAAATTGTAAATTTATCATGAATAGATCATGTTTACTTTCGATTTCCAAATGAAATGAAAACGGGAAGTGACAAGTGGATAATAAATTCAGAATGAATCTGGATTCATCTACGGATTGGTTCGTGTTTAAAAAAGGCAGGAAATTATCATTTTTTAAATAAAATTTGCTAAATAAGAACTATATTTGTCTCTCTCGTTTAGTTTGATACTTAATTATTTCGTATTATACGTTTTAGTGTCTTTAAATTCATAAGAATATTTCCGCGCATGCGCAGTTCATCGTAAAGGAAGCACCTGTTTGACTCGTGAAAACACTTCTGAATGTTATGAATAAAGTTCTATTTTTTTACTCGAAATTGTCGAAAGTTTTTGATTAAAAGTTATATCAAATATGACGAAAATACGTTCATTTGACGAAACTACCATAAGCGAACTGTAAATTGTGATCATTTGATAAATATTGAAATTTAAATGCGAACTGTCCGATTGAAAACTCAAATGACGAAACTACGACAAACGAACTACAAATTGTGCTCGTTTGATAAATATTGAAATTGAAATTCTGACTGACTGATTTTACTGAGGAAAATAATAATGATGATCAATTATGAGGTTGATGAATAATTAACGGATTAGTGACCCATCCAATGCCGATAAGCGGATTATCTGTAATCACAACTTAAAACACCTGTTGTAAATGTTAATTAGTTGAGGGTCATAAACTTGTCAGAAACAGAACGAACAGTCATAATTTAACAGGGTTTCTTAGTAAAATGTTCCTTTGAACCACGGCATCAAAATGCTGTAACAAGTTTAAGGTTTAACTTAATTTTTGTTCTTTAAATTATATTTCTATCAGTGAAATAAAGAAATTGACAATACTTTTGCATCTATTCAGAAGTGCAGAAGAAATTCGATCATTGATTTTTTCTTAGAATTTTGGCGGAGCGTCCCTGGAACATTCCTTGATTGATTGCAAAAGAAAAAAATGGGGGTCCATGTGCTTGTTTTTTCAATAAAAGCAATAAACCTTGATTTTTAATGGCAGACGGGACGTTTGCCAATAAGGCACTAAATTACGTTGAAATAAGTTTTAATCGCAACAACGTCGTGAAATCTTTTCCGTCGTTCCAGACTACGCTGTCAAGTTCAGTGGTATCGTCAAGGTTTTTTTTTTTCGAAATCAATGATATTTATCATCAATATTTATACAGATAGTTACTCGTAAAGTAGCATAAAATATTTGCCAAACTTTATGAATTGTTACGAAACTTGGATGGAAAAAGTATTTTAGTAAATTACTTTTAAAAAAAAAATGACCAGAAACAAAAAAAAAATAAATCTAAAAAAAAATAATTTGCATCTCTGTCCGAGATTAGTCCTACATTTCATGTAGACAACACAGCTTGAGCATAGTTTTAATTATTCAAAAAGCCCCGACATGACAAAATGTGAAACAATTATAAATTACAAAAAAAAGAAAATGGGATAATATAAAAATAAGGACATTTGGTATGAGATAACTTTATCAATCATAGTTCAAATGACGAAGATAAACACAATTCGACACACAAAAAAGCTACATTTATTTCGTAATTGTCTCAATATATATAGTCTATTGCGGTGTAGTATAACATTTCATAGGAAGTACAGCAGTCGATATTAGAGCATACCATTGCATGATTCTGTATCAATAGATAGGTTACCTTAGCTTGTATTCAGGCAGGGGTATTTTTTATTACGGTACATATAGTTATTGACTTATTTGTCTGTATTATACCTCCAATCTAGGATTGGGTGCAACACCATTGTTTGTCTGTCCGTCCGGTGGTCCAACAAATTTTTGTTTCTTATCTGATAAACTGCCTTACGGAAAGACTTTGTATTTTGTCGGTAGCTTAATGACAGTGAGTTGCAACTTGTAAACACTTTTCTTGTCTGTCAGATACCTAATTCCGGTGTGCCGATACTTCGATTGTTTTCTCTCAATATGTACATAGGGGATAAGCTTAGCGCATGAACCGGTGCATTTTTGCTTTGGTCTGTAATACGTATGGGGCTCATAACTGTGTTTACTTAACTGAGAGTTATTCTTCATACACATATAAATATTCCACTGGGTTAGTTCTAAAAATGCCGTTAAACTTTTTAATGTACCTATTGAAAGTCAGGAACAGTATGAGGCGTTGTCTTTATTTCTTATGTTATTTTAACATTTTGTTGATAGTCTGTTTATTTTATCTGTACAATTGTCATACAATTTAGTGCTTGCCAAATGGTGTATATATAGATACTATATTATGGTCAAGATAGTACGTTGAATTATTTATTGGGCTTTTTGTGTAGTTGGGTTTCTGTCTCCTCAACGTATTATTTTATTTACATATCTTTTATTCATTTCCTATATGAAATAAAACACATACAAAACTATGACTGTGGATTTGATTTTATTTTCACATTTTAAATAAATACTGTTGACTTCATTACTAATGAATAAATATTACAATTTTCGTAATATAGTCAATTTTTTTAGCAGGTACCTTTTTCAAATTCGCGCAATCGGATTATGACGTCAGTGGATTTTTCTGCAAATGTGACTATATCTAAAGCGACGTCGCAAAATGTAATCATTCTTTTAAGAAAAGTCGCGAAATTACAACGTTCTGATAACAACATCGCAAAAACAACACGAAAAGTTTTGAAAACGTTATTATCTGCCCTTGCTACTGTATCGTATGCCCTTAAGCCCCCAATATAGATGATTAACATATTTTGACAAAATAATCTAAATCAGTCAAAAGATTTTCGGATAATAATTTTAGATAATAAACGAATCTTTAAATTTTTAACCCTTATACATAGTATTGTCCAGTTGTCAGTGAAACAAGAAATAACTATTCAGGTGTTTTCAGTTTCAGTTTTCAGATGGATATGTTGTGTGTTTCTTCATATGTCCCTTCAAATTTTTCATTTTGGATTTTTATTCGCAGTGTTTGAAATCTATTGGAATCAATTTGCATAAAATATTGGGATTTGTTTTATTTGAATTCAATTCTTAGATGCATTTAATTTTGCTTCTTAAAATGTGATTTTAAATGGATTGTCATGAATGTATCAAGGAGGAAATAATTCATTCAAAATGTTTTGTATGGCTTTCACATCATGATGTACATGTAAAAGCCAAAATAATTTGGGAGCATACTTGCAGTGTTTTTCTTTGAAATCTATTAGGAGCTTTGTGCATAAAAATACTGTGTTCACTCAAGGAAATTCACTTTTTATAAGACAGGATTTAAGTTAAAAAAAAGTAGGAGAACCTGTTTAAATGGGATATATATCATGGAAATGAAATAAAATGTGAATACAGTGGATATAGTCGAATCTTAAGTGATAAAGTGAATAATAAAAGTAAAATATTCCAAAAAATTCATTACGTGAGGATAAAAATTTTTAATGTGATATTGGAAATAATCATTATAAAATTCTGGATCTAATATTGTTAAATTGGGACATATATCATGGGAAATGAAATAAAAAACTGAACACTGTGGACATATCATGGAAAATGAAATAAAAATCTGAATACTGTGGATATAGTAAAATCAAGTGATATAGTGAAAAATAGAAATAAAATATTCCAAAAAATTTGTAAAGTGAGGATTATTTATTTTGAATGTGATATAGGAAATGATCAAAAATTACAAAATTCTGGATCTAATATAAACTCTCTGCACCTGTTTAATTGGAATATATATCATAGGAAATTTTACAGAATACTGTGGATATAGAATAAAAAATCTAGTAATATAGTGAAAAATGTAAGAAAATATTCCAAAAAGTTAATAGAATTAGGAATATAGTTTAAAATTACTTCAAATAGTATTACTTCAAATAGTGAAAACTGGAATACTGGATGGGATATCAAATATCAGTGTTAATAAATAAACCAGTTTATTCATAACTATTATTTTTGATATTTCACTATGCATGAACACTTTGTACAAGACTCATGGCAATAAGTATTGAACAAATGTCTAAACGAAGGAATGCACACATTTGATCTGGTGTTTTTTAATCTTGGAAAATTATGGAAATTATGAAATAATTAAGATTTCCGAGAGAGTAAAAAATAAATCTTTTGAGTTAACTCCCATTAGAAAAAGCGAATGAGATAAAAGAGGTCTTTTTCAACAATATAAAAGAAATCCAAGCACTCATAGTATTTGAATATGAAAACATTAAGAGGAAATGTAGTGCATTATATGACATGCAAGTTAATACCCCACAAGAAAAAAAACACATATATATTCTTGTTCTGGCTTCCTCTCTCTTGAAATTTGAAATGACAGTAAAATAAAAATCTCTCCTTTTTCTTCTAAAAGTTGTGTTTCTTTGGAAATTGTATGGCCAATTACTTCAAGGAATACATTCATTTCAATGAAAAAGACTGTAATAACAATGTGTTTTCCCTTTACTTATTTTAGGATTCTCTAAAGGAAAACATGTGGAAATGAAATTAAAAAAAAATTCAGCAGTCTTTAGCATATTAGAACATGGAATAATTTTGCATATTGTGTCTAGCTTTTTTCATACCATATATACTTATTTAAACTGTAGGCATGTTATGTTATTTTACAAAGATAAAACTTGAAACCTAAATGCCACATGGATAAGTTTTGAAAATCAGTTACAATTAAACAGGTATAGTGATAGGACAGGATCAAGGTAGACTGTAAATGCATGAGTGATTACCTATTGTCAACTCTTAACAATACCAACTGGTCAATTTAAATGTCCCAATTGTATTGTCAATTTTACAATCTGGTTGAACAATAGGTAAAGGTAAACAGCAACACCTATAGTCAAGTCACAGTAAATCACTGGAAAAGGTTGACAAGGATTATTTTTATTACACTGCACTTGCTTCATATTAACAACCTTCGACTGACGCAATGAGCTAAACTGCTTAATAACCAGTTGATCAGTTTGTAGAGGTAAATTCAAACAGCAATTGTGTAAAACACTACTGCAGTTCATGTATCATTTCTACTTGGAATTTTATATATAAAATTAAGAAAGATGTGGTATGAATGCCAATGAGACAACTCCCCTACAGAGACCAGATGAAGAAGAGGTTAACATCTATTGATTAAACGCTTTGTAGGACTAGTTTTGACTTTTATGATGACTGACACTAGGTTTTTTTCCAGTGGCCAATATCACAAGAATACTAAGGGGTAAAACATATATAAATCAAATTTCAGGGAAATATTTGATTATCCTGGTTGATAAGACTGGATAATGAAGCATAAAATAGGGAGATGTTGTATGATTGCCAATGAGACAACTATCCACCAGAGTTCAAATGATGTGGATATAAGCAAAGTTTAACATGTAACAGATTTTTTCATAGTTATAACAGTCAACACCCCACCAGACCAACCTTTAGGTTCATATCTGACAGGTGAATATGCATTCATCTATATGTACCCTAGTTTTTTTCTGAATAAACCTTTTTATCAATACATTTTAACCTACCTTCTCTTAGTCTTTCCCAATTCAATCCTTTAAAGAAGTCATGTAAGAGTACACTTCTATAGCCAAATCTGTCTGATTTTTCTGTTAAAAGTTTTTTCATCAGATCAACAGCATGTTTAGATATTTTTACTTTCTCTGGAAAGGTCAAACATTCCTGCAAAGATATGGAAAATGAAATTGTTACTGTGGATTCATTTATTTTCGTGGATACCGATTTTTGTTGATTGAGGAAGATTGAATTTTTGCTGGATATTTGGTTTCTTGGCTTTGACCAAAATCTGCAAAGTCTATAAAAAATTTAAACTCCTTTGAACATTTAAATTTGTGATTAACCAGTATACCAAAATTGGTTCACCATGAAAAATGATGAATCCGCAGAATCAAAAATAACAAATGTTTTATAAAGAATAGAAATGGAGTAAATGTATCAATACACAGGTTAGAAAATGTTATCTTTCCATACTGAGTCTTTCATCCTTTAAATTTCTTCTTTCAATTTACAAAAATTTGTAATTCTTGTTTGCATTTACTGTTGTCAGTGTTTTTAGTATTATATTGGAACTTATATCATTTGTAACTTTTACATCTATTTTTTTTTTTTTTTGAGAAAATTGTTAATGGGTCAAGATAACATTTATTCCAGTTAATGGAATTTATTGGATAAGTAGTTATGCCTGGCATGAAAAAAAAGTGATCCTCAGAAAGAAATGAATGTTCTCGAACTTATGGTTTAACAAATGTAGACATAGTACATTTTGCTCGACTTTCTCTTTTAGTCCACAAAGAATGCTAAACCCAAACATTTGTGGACTATAAACAGCATGCTTTTTATATATGAATTATTCTTTAAGATTTGCAGTTTTCATTCACACTAGATTTTTTGTGTTATTATACTCAGTAAATACGTATACAGTCAGCATGGATCAACACCAAAATGGTTAGTGCACAAAAAATGTTGTAAATTATGATTGACAGATTGATTAATGTGTGATCAAGTTGCAAATATTGCATGCATATTTAGTCTAAAAACATGTGTTAGAATTGCCCTACTTTATACTAGCCAAATGTGCTATGGCAAGGTAAAGAAATAAACATATGGGGCAGTCTAGAGGCACTTTATTTAATATTTTTTTTAAAAAAACTTTGAGAAACATGATCTGAATCGACTAGGATTGCCAGTTTTCCAGCCAAGAGTGGGTGTTTTTTTTCAGGCATTCCTTCCTCCTCCATCAATAAAATTGACAGGCATGATATAGCTAAGAGTGTTGACAGTGGCATTAAACACCAACAATCCTTTAATCAATCACCAAAAAGTTGTTGGGATATAATCAAAATAGTGTTTTAGAGCCCTATGATTAATTTTGGTTTACCAAAATTTCTACGCACTATTTCTAAATCGTATAAATATGTCTGTTTGTATTACTGACCTTGAAGTTCATGATATTAGAATAGGTTATGACCATGGAGCCACTCTCATCAGTGAATGGTGTCTTCCCAAACAACATCTCATACATACAAACACCAAGTGACCACCAGTCAACCTCCACTCCATATCTGGAATCACTGCTATGGTTGTTCATAGAGGTCAAAAGTTCAGGAGACACATAGTCTGGGGTACCAACAGGCATCCTTGATGAAACCTAAAAATATAAATGCAATGAACCATGAAGAGCCACCGGAGCATGACAATAAATATTTTATAGTAAGCAAACAAAGTTGGCAACATGTATATGTAAAAGTGTAAAAGGTGTATTGATTCATGGATTTAATTTTGTGGATTCTGAGTGTATGTATTCATGATTTCAGACTTTTTCACACAATTAAAAATTTAACAATTAAGCAGCAACTATTTGATTAAACAGATACTCAGGGATATGATGATAGTTTTTTGTATTTTTCTGATGGCATAATTTCAATGTGGTAAAAATGCAGTTATAAAAATCCCAATTGTTTGTGGTAGTTGTTTGTAAAATAACCCCAATGTCTATTTCAAATAAATACTATAAATTTCACTTATTTCTTATCAAAGTTTTTTTATATGTTTCTAGTTACAGGAAATACATTAATTCAAAGAAAACACAAAAAATGTAAAAACAATCTGAGTAACTGCTCTTAATGTATATCCAAAAAAATTGAGAAATACACAGCGATATTTGTTTTAAAGAAGACACTGTATGCCTTTTTAATTAAAAGGGGCCATGTCCTGTTTTAACAATGTTATGCTGTAGGAGTAAGGACATTTCAGTAAAAAAAAAAGTTTAAAAAAAAAACGTATAAAATTTTCATCATACCTTTCATCCAAACAAATCTAATATAGTAAATCTGTCAGAGCCTTCCGACCCCTCAACCCACTTTTTTTCATTTTTTATCTGGCACAGCCCTTGGTAATGATACTAACCAACATATCTGCTGATAACTGGGCAGCTGATCCAAAATCTGCTAGCTTTACATGTCCTGTACTATCTAGTAGTATATTTTCTGGTTTAATGTCCCTTAAAAAAAAAGTTTAAAATGTATCAGAAAAAAAATGTGGATAGTGTCCACATGTGGACAGAGATGATGCCAAAGCTTGCATATAACCTTATAAAGGAACATAACTCAAGAACGGTAAAAGTTACGCTACCCAAATTTGTACTTGATCTGAGTTTTGTGATAATACGCATTGTATATAAGTTTTATAACATTTGGTTGAGACAAACTAAAGTTAGAGAACAGAAACGAAAAATTCAGCAATTTTTATGTTTATAAATGAACATAACTGAAAAATTCAGCAATTTTTATGTTTATAAATGGACATAACTCAAGAATGGTAAAAGTGTCGCCAACAAATTTCGTACTTAATCTGTATTATTTGGTAATAAGCATTGTGTATAGGTTTCATAATGTTTGGTTGGGGTAAACTTAAGTTACAGAATTGAAACTAAAAATTTTGCAATCTTTCGATTTATAATGGGCATAACTCAATAATGGTTAAAGTAACACTTCCCAAATTCAACTTGATCTGTGTTTTATCAGTGGAAGTCAAAATTAAACATTGCATTGTATAAAGCATTGATTGTAGTTGATTCAACTATAATCATGGACAAAGGAAGATAACTCCAATTTTAAAAATTACTCGATATTTAGAAGAAAATAAAAGTTTTGCAATTTTTCCATGTATAAAAGGGCACAACTCTAGAACGGTTAAAGTGACGCCACCAAAATTCAAACTTGATCTGTGTTATGTGGTAATAAGCATTGTGTATAAGTTTCATAACATTTGGTTGAGACAAACTTTTTAGAGAACGGAAACTAAAAATTTTGCAATTTTTCCATTCATAAAGGGGCATAACTCTAGAACGGTTAAAGTGACGCCACTAAAATTCAAACTTGATCTGTGTTTTGTGGTAATTAGCATTGTGTATAAGTTTCATAACATTTGGTTGAGGCAAACTCAAGTTAGAGAACGGAAACCAATTTTGGGACGTACGGACGTACCTACGTACAGTTGGACAAGGGTAAAACTGAATGAGTGGAATATGTGGAAAACTGAGTTTTCACTTTTTAATCCAGAATTTTTTTGCAAAAACCTCTCTAATTGCTTTTGAGTTTAATATGCAAGAATTAGTAACTTGTGCTTTCATTTTTTCTTCTAAATCTTGTCTTCACCTGTTTTAACTTTCCAAATTATGTTGAAAACTGAATTTTCTATTATTAATTCAGAATTTATTTGCCAAAAAGACAAGGATGCAAAAATTATCATTTCTTACAATAAAGTGTAATCTTAAGAAACCAATCTAACTGTTACTCACAAAACTTCTGTTCAACTCATAAGCTGAAGCAACAAAACCTAAAACAGCTGACTTTCATGCAAATGATGAGAGTAAAAAATAAATTGCAAAAACCTTCTTCTATTAAATGATATATCTTTTTTCACCATAAGAACATCTGGAATTTAGTAGCAAATTTACAAGAGTTACACTGGTAAGAACAATCTAATAACTATCAAGCCTTAGAATATCACAAACTTATGTGTAGAAATCTTACCTGTGTACATATCCCATGCAATGTAAAGCATGTATTGCCTGTGTCATTTCTCCTACATAAAATCTACACATTGATTCTTCAAATATATCATCATTCCTAAAAATTCAAACCAAACAAATTAACAATCAGTAATATCAGGATTTGTCAACAAAAGTAAGATATGATGTGCATACATGTACATGTTTAAAGTTAAACTGGAAGTAACTTGGAAGACATTTCAACAACAAACTAGAGGCTCTCAAGAGCCTGTGTCGCTCACCTGTATTTACTGATGCTTTGGAAATCATGTAAAATAAGGTTAAAATCATAATTAATAGTATTAGATATTAGATATTATAATGATATCTAAGATAATAACAAAAAACTGCAAAATTTTTGTAAAATTACTAACTCAGGGGCAGCAACCCAACAACGGGTTGTCGGATTCGTCTGAAAATTTCAGGGCAGATAAATCTAAATCTGATGAACATTTTTGCCACCTGTCAGATTTGCTTTAAATGCTTTAGTTTTAGAGATATAAACCAAAAACTGCATTTTACTCCTATGTTCTATTTTTAACCAAGTCATGATGGTTGGAAGGCAGGGTCATTGGACAAATTTTTTAAACTAGATACCCTAATAATGATTATGGCCAATTATGGTTAAATTTGTCTCAGTAGTTTCAGAGAAGAAGATTTTTGTAAAAGATTACAAAAATTTACAAAAAATTGTTAAAAATTGACTATTAAGGGCAATAACTCCTAAAGGGGTCGACTGACAATTTTGGTCATGACAACTTATTTGTAGATCTTACTTTGCTGAACATAATTGCTGTTTACATTTTATCTCTATCTATAATAATATTCAAGATAATAACCAAAAACTGCAAAATTTCTTTAAATTTACCAATTCAGGGGCAGCAACCCAACAACAGGTTGTCAGATTTGTCTGAAAATTTTAGGGCAGATAGATCTTGACCTGATAATCAGTTTAACCCGTGTCAGATTTACTCTAAATGCTTTGGTTTCAGAGATATAAGCCAAAATCTACATTTTACCCCTATGTTCTATTTTTAGCCATGGCGGCCATCTTGGTTGGTTGGCCGGGTCATCGGACACATTTTTTAAACAAGATACCCTAATGATGATTGTGGCCAAGTTTGGTTAAATTTGGCCCAGTGGTTTCAGAGGAGAAGATTTTTGTAAAAAGCTAACGCCGACGACGCCGCCGACGGACGCCGCCGACGGACGCCAAGTGATAAGAAAAGCTCACTTGGCCCTTCGGGCCAGGTGAGCTAAAAAGGACTCTAGATTTATGTTTTATATGATGTTCATCATACGAGTGTTGAAAACAATGATTAAAACAAAACACTTTTTTACTTTATGGGCATTTCCGAAATTGAATGTATGGGTGGGTAGAAAGGCACTACCCTCCCTCCTCTCCCCAAAGACCCCTATCCATACAATTTTAATTCAAATTTCAATGTGCTATTGTGGGAAACATATTTTGAACCCCACTATGCCTATAGTATTATCAACTGCCTTCCAACCCCCAATACAATTCATTTTGGAATAGCCCTCAATTAGATTGAAACATTCCTCTGCTCATGATTATATTCTAAAATATCATTAATTTATTTTTTTTAAATCTTTTTTTTTCAAGCAATTTTAAAAAGAAATATCCATATAAAATGTATACAGTGATTTGCAAAGGGTGTCTACTCTTATGGATTGTCCAAAACAATTATGACACGATTGTAATTGATGAAATGATTGCACTGGTAATGCCTTCTTACATGGTTAAATATTACAGCTGATAAAAGTATAAACAGGATTTCTTTCTATATTCATATCATAAGCAAACCTTGATAGTAAAGATAAAAGATCCCCTCCACCATGGAATTCCATCACTAAATATAAATTCTGAGCATCTTGGAAAGCAAAGTGTAGCTGTGTTATCCACTCAGATGTGGCCCTGGCCATAATGTCTCGTTCTTCTTCATAAAAAGTTATCTGCAATTAATAAGAAATGTGATATTTTTGAAAATAAAATACAATGTATAATAAATGAAAAGGACAGAAATATGCAACTTTATATAATACAGTGCATATTCTTTTTTCATAAGTTTAAAAAAAATCATAGTATTACAGCTCAATTTGCAAATTCATAAGCAGTATATCTAATTGACAAGGATTGTTAGATTTCCTGTCGAAGATAGGTGGTATTCACCAATGAAAACTGGCCAAAATGATATAACCAAGTGCTAAAAGTGGTGTTAAAAACCAACAATCAATCAATCAGAAATGGTTTCCATGAACTGATTGCAGTATGTAACTGTCAACAAACGAACAGAATTAATCATACTATGTTGATATCCAACAATAAACTAAGATAAGAAGCTCTTTTCACAAAAAAAATATTACAAATTGTAAGTTATACTGTATGTTCATAACTTACAAGTAGTTCTATTAAAAAATTTTGTGAAAAGAGCCTCAGATAATATTAAAACAAGAGTGCACACGCTGAAATGTCTCGCCTTCTTTACTAATCATTGATATTATGTTGATAGTCCTAAATATAAAGCTTTATTACAACTGTCACATAAACTTAACATTAACCAGGTAAACTAAACATTGACCAATGAACCATGAAAATGAGGTCAAGGTCAGATGAACCATGCTAGGCAGGCATGTACAGCTAACAATTCTTCCATACAACAAATAGAGTTGACCTATTGCTTATAGTTTAAGAAAAACAGACCAAAACACAAAAACTTAACACTGAGCAATGAACCTTGAAAATGAGGTCAAGGTCAAATAAAACCTGCGTGACTGCCAAAAAGATCATAAAATATTTCCACACACCAAATATAGTTGAACTATTGCATATAGTATAAGAAAAACAGACCAAAACACAAAAACTTAACTATAACCACTGAACCATGAAAATGAGGTCAAGGTCAGATGACACCTGCCAGTTGGACATGTACACCTTACAGTCCTTCCATACACCGAATATACTAGACCTATTGCTTATAGTATCTGAGATATGGACTTGACCACCAAAACTTAACCTTGTTCACTGATCCATGAAATGAGGTCGAGGTCAAGTGAAAACTGTCTGACGGGCATGAGGACCTTGCAAGGTACGCACATACCAAATATAGTTGAACTATTGCACATAGTATTAGAAAAAAAGACCAAAATTCAAAAACTTAACTTTGACCACTGAACCATAAAAATAAGGTCAAGGTCAGATGACACCTGCCCGCTAGACATGTACACCTTACAATCATTCCATACACCAAATATAGTAGACCTATGGCATACAGTATAAGAAAAACAGACCAAAACACAAAAACTTAACTATAACCACTGAACCATGAAAATGAGGTCAAGGTCAGATGACACCTGCCAGTTGGACATGTACACCTTACAGTCCTTCCATACACCGAATATACTAGACCTATTGCTTATAGTATCTGAGATATGGACTTGACCACCAAAACTTAACCTTGTTCATTGATCCATGAAATGAGGTCGAGGTCAAGTGAAAACTGTCTGACGGGCATGAGGACCTTGCAAGGTACGCACATACCAAATATAGTTGAACTATTGCACATAGTATTAGAAAAAAAGACCAAAACTCAAAAACTTAACTTTGACCACTGAACCATGAAAATGAGGTCAAGGTCAGATGACACCTGCCCCCTAGACATGTACACCTTACAATCATTCCATACACCAAATATAGTAGACCTATGGCATACAGTATAAGAAATACAGACCAAAACACAAAAACTTAACTATAACCACTGAACCATGAAAATGAGGCCAAGGTCAGATGACACCTGCCAGTTGGACATGTACACCTTACAGTCCTTCCATACACCGAATATACTAGATCTATTGCTTATAGTATCTGAGATATGGACTTGACCACCAAAACTTAACCTTGTTCACTGATCCATGAAATGAGGTCGCGGTCAAGTGAAAACTGTCTGACGGGCATGAGGACCTTGCAAGGTACGCACATACCAAATATAGTTATCTTATTACTTATAATAAGAGAGAATCTAACATTACAAAAAATCTTAACTTTTTTTTCAAGTAGTCACTGAACCATGAAAATGAGGTCAAGGACATTGGACATGTGACTGACGGAAACTTCGTAACATGAGGCATCCATATACAAAGTATGAAGCATCCAGACCTTCCACCTTCTAAAATATAAAGCTTTTAAGAAGTTAGCTAACGCCGCCGCCGGATCGCTATCCCTATGTCGAGCTTTCTGCGACAAAAGTCGCAGGCTCGACAAAAAATTACAACTCAGATACCTTCAACCATAACAAACACAATATGAAGATGCAACTACATATATGTGCTCTGTCAAAAGAAGTCATGCTTTTGGAAATTGCATTATCTGAAGCAATGTGAAGTTTTCTATTTAAGAATGAATTTAATTTAAAGAATCAAAAGTTGCTTTAGATTTTACTGTCATGACTGTGGAATAGTCCTAAATAGTTTTTTAAATAAACTGCACTTAGTCAATGATCTATTTATGAGAACAGAAGTCCTTGTTTTATATGTGCAGTGATGATTTTGTAGCTTTGTGGGTCACTTTATTTGGTTCATTTATTTATTTCATTATTAGTATTTTTAATTATTTTCCCAGAAAGATTTATTATTATTTTATTACTTTCTGATTTTTTTTTCATTCATTAAATTTTAGTGACGTAACGAACCTCGCATTAGCCTTCAAAATATTTTTCCTTTCTCAACCAATCAGAGAGCTCAATTGAATTCCCGGGGAAAATTAGCTCGTGCAGTGATTGTCTTCTGGTAATCATTCCCAGCTCAGATTCACAGGGGTGTAGACATAAGTTAAAGAGTGAATTTTCAACCATGTGCGCGATTTTTTGGAAGTGGTCTCGGTGAGGAATCTCGCACTATTTAATATGCTATAACTAGTGTATTGAAGAAAATGTGTATTACAGTATTTTTTAGGTAAGAAGTTCCCCTTCCTATTTATGTATATATTTTGATTGACTAAAACTGGCTAGTTTTTGATCAGGGTTTGCATTGGATATTTAGCGGAAACTTAGAATATTTACGCATTGAGGCGTAATTTATTTAGAAAGCAGTTCGCTGGTTAAATGAGTTGAGTTTTTGTATAGTTCTTTGGACTGAATAAAAGTTGTCAGTTTGCGAAAAACGAGATTCGATTAACTGTTCAGCTAGTCAGTTGTTAAGGTTAAAGTTATTTATAGATCGCTGGTTAAAGAAAGTAAAAGTTCGGGGTCATTATTTGTTGACATTCCCGTGCGTGTCTTAAATCTATGACTTGAACTTAAAAGTCGGTAAAATTAAGAATTGAAGCACTAACTAGCGAGTTCTAAATGCAAGCCCTGAGCAGAACGGCAGAGTGAGTCGTTAGAGAGAAATTCTAGATACTAAAACATTATATTTCTTGGTCTAGGAAACTATTATAGAGACTGCAGAATTAGACCATTGACTCTCCAAAACTGTAACAAATTAAATGTGCAGCTGATTCATATATGTCTTGTTTAATAAATGTTGTACTTTACTGAATTATTTTATTACAGAGAAACGCCTTGTCCCTTGCCTGAATTGGTCTTTTGATTAAAAATTAATCCCGGTTACTTCCCTTTGTATTGGTATCAACCTAGATCTCGACCCCTTTCGATGAGCCTGCGTTTCAGTGTTTCCTGATTACAGACCGTTTTTGAGAAAGCATATTCTGGACAGAACGAGTCTTATTTTGTTTTAACTTCCCTTCAGTAGTTTATTTTTTTGGTTCTTGTTAATTGTATATTGGTGGAAATAGAGAACTAGTTTTCGAAAGTCTTATGACTTATCTTTACATTTGTGGTGCCGTGCTTGAAACGTCCAAAATTGTTAGGTCGGGCTAGTTACTTTTGGTCCGTCAGTCTGTTGCCCCTTTATTCATTGTTTAACCCCAGGCTTATTTATAGTGTTTTAGTTTTTACCCTAGCACATACAAAAGTCTATACTGTAGTATTAGTGTGGGATTGTACATATTTGAGTGGAAATATACTGAGAGATTCAGATAAAGGTGTTGTTTATTTCTGGACTACTACCAGAACGACTGAGTTTGGGATTGAGATTTCTCTTGTAAACCGATACCGCCAGATCCTTGTATATCTGGTGACTATCCAGATTATTATTCCTGTTGGTCTCTATAGTCCAATACTATGGTAGCCTGATTACGGTCAAGGTCAAAGGTTAGGGCTTGTTGGGCCATAAGAGCAGTCTAGGTCCTCTTTGTCCACCATTGGAGAAAGATTCTAGAAGACACTCCTGACTGAATCTCGAAGAGTACTGAACTTCAGACACATTTAGTTCCAGAACACACATTTTAAATCACTTATAAACTGGTGGCATGGACCGGTAAAAATAATACCTAATAAAACTTTGAAATATACCGGTCGGGCATAACTATAATAGAAGTCCTAAAGCGAAAGCATAGACCGAACCCTACCCTAGATTTAGACTAAAGGAAACAGTTGGGTTGCTGTCTAGTAGATATTAAGTTAAGGTCGCGTATATCAATTTGATATAATATCACAGTCAAAATACCTAAATACCTAAATACCACAAGATTTCATGTGTTATTTCTTATTTTTCTAGGTGTGTAATGTACCTCCTGTTGTGCCAGTGTCTCGTGTTTATGTAAAATTTTCATAGCGTATACTGTGCTTGTCACTTTATCTCGAACTACTTGTACTTCCCCGAAATGGCCTCGTCCAATCACATCTTTCACCTCAAAGTCTGCCATTTTCATTCTTATCTTTCTCAGTTCCTTAACTGTTGATTCATCTATAAAATGTAATCACAAATAAAATAGATCTTGAAAAAGTTCAATGACATCATTTTCATGTTAAACAATTTTTGTTTAATTTCCAGTATAAAAATAAAGTTTGGACCTAGGAAAGGGGAAAAAGAAAAAAATGCTTAATTAGCCATTTCAAATTACAAATGATAACAAAGTAGTACTGTAAACCAACTAATTTTCGTGACTTTCGTGAGTAGAAAAATATTGTGAATATAAATCGTCGCGAATATGTAAAACTTGCATCTTTCCTTATTCAACTACATGAAGTAAATAGAAAAGTGCGAAATCAAATAGCCACGAAGTGGACTAGAGAGGGTAAAACGCGAAAATAAGTCGGTTTACAGTATGTCTGTAGGACAAAAGCATCCTGCCTTCATGAACATTCATACATCAAAATTTTCTGATACTCTTTTCATTGGAAAAGAAGGAAAAGTTTTAAATGGAGAACTTAAATAGCTTGACAGACATGGATACCACTATTGGCTCCTTTCACTCTCATGGTTGTGAATACAAAAACTTAACACTGATTTATCATGTACAAATAATTTGCATTCTACCAAAACCTACATTTTTTCACAAAAGCTGCTACATGTTTATTTTTCATTAGATTGTCATGACTACACTCATCAAATAACACTAGCAAACTATCCATTAATCCATCTCTTGTCAATAAAGATGTATGAACATCATCAGTCTCCACTTGTCCTTTAACAAAGCCATCCAACACCTGTATTCTGTTGGTGATAGATTCCATTCTTAAGTCCCCCATGGCCTGAAAAGAATAATATACACTTGTATAATGACATCCTTCAATCAGACACATAACTACTGAACATTCAGCAAGTAAATATGTAATTTAGTCCCAGATTGTTCCAATGACTGATAGTCTTTAGTGTTTCCTGCAGCTTTTGAAAAGGGCAGGTTATTTTTTTTCTCAGAGGGCACTCTTAGCGCGATAAGCTGTACTTAAAGGGCACCCTTTGCACGGAGGACTATACTTTTGGGGCACTCTTTTCACAGAAGTAAAGGCACTGTAATGGATGGTGATTTGATCAAATATATCACTGTTTCATATTCATTGGTAAGAAATAAAGATATGTACATGTATATAAGGTTGTTAATTTAATTCCTTTTTGTAATAAAATTCTCACTTCTAGACTCCGCTAATAGAATCTTGATCATTTTCATTGTGCAACTGCCTCATTTCAATCAATAACTCCAGTTATAAACTTTAATACTGGATCACTGTGACTGATTGTCCAAGGATGTGTTGTGAAAGTGGACTTTGAATGACCAAGAGCATATGCAATGCATTGCTTTTAAGATGCACAAAAGAAGTGCCAAATACCTTTTGGACTCGCATTTTTAAACCACTCAAAGCTACCTTGGCTCATGACTAAAAATAGTTTTATGATATTCAAAGATTTGTATAGCAAGACTTACTATACATATTCTTCTGCATTTCATCTTTTTTCAATCTGTGTTTTTTTTTTATTGAAACATTGTTGATTTTTTGTATACTATTCAAAACTATATCAGCTATATTCTCAACTTTAATTTTATTAAGATAACAACAGTATGAAAGCCGTAGTAAATTCACACCCAATCCGACGTCTCGACCGACCGAATAGTATATGTAGAAAATATAAACAAACATTGGATTGTTTACGAGAATTATCAGTGGTAAGGTTCATCCCATGCATCGTCAAATTATAACTTAAAACGATGGCCTGGCCCCTTTTTAATTTCATAGAAGTATAAATCGATGTTGTCCCTATTAGATTCAATCGTGAATCATATGTGTAATATGTCGCTTCAAAACTGTTAAACCATTTCAAAATTCAATAAAATGTCAGCCATTAAATTTTGATTTTTTGTTCCATGGGAAATAACTCGAAATGGTCTTGCTAAAACTTGTAAAAGATGAATTGCAGAACCAATATTACATTACAGGCGTTCTAAAATACGACGGAAAAAGGGCATGGCGCCATACCACGCCACAACATCCTGCAGGAAACAGTACCTCTTTTAGGACTGTTGTGGCCTTGGGAAGTCAAAGCACAGTCCAAATAGTAAACCTGGAAATTGCCCACCAAGACCTTGGGACAGCAAGTTTCTATTTTGAATTGTAAAAGATCCATTTTGAAGTTGATAAATCATAAAAGATTCAATTCATTTTTCCTTTTTTTCCACAAATATGTAACTTTTATTCATGAACCTTTGAAGCACAAATGAAAGCTTTATTTTCATCAACCCACCATTTTCAGCGTCATACTTTAACTTTGAAAAAGAAATTGTGACTCGTGTTATTTCCTCATAGCACATGTATAAGTGTACATACATTTGTTGTACATGTACATGTAGATAAGGCACAAAATGAGCACCAGATTTAAGTTTTTCCATTAATAAAATGGTTACAGTTCGGGAATCGCCACACTTGAAATTCCTCTCCGCCACCTTTGATTTTCATGCACCACACGTAACTTGTCGTCCGCCACGCTTCAAAAATCAATAGATTGTAGTAAATGCCGAATACCTCTAACCCAATTATCATGTCAGTGGCAAATTTAAGCAATCAAAATTATTAGTATATAATGGTGTGACTCCAGGAATGTTTATATGATTGTATCATTTACCTTGTCATGCATTACCATCAGAAGACTAGACCTTGGTCAGCTGAATGAAGGCACAGGTAGCAGACAACTTAACAAGACATCTTAGATATATTTTAGTCCTTACCTCAAAATGACAATTGTGCTTACTGCATGTATGTTATGTGCTGTTATATTTTGTTATCATAGATATATATATATTTATTAATTTAATAAGATGTATTAAAAGTATTTTGTCTGTCTAATTTATGCCCAAGGAGGAATGCTAACAAAGGCGACACCATCTCTGTTAACATCTCTCCCCCACCCTTGATTTTCTTTTTGTGGAGAACCCTGCAGATGGTTATGGTGGTTACATACAGTTAACTTTTGTTATAATAATTACATACAGTTAACTTTTGTTATACACATTTAATAATTAAAGAACACATACCTACCAACTGTCATTATTTGTGGGGGATTTCCCTCATGGACCGGGCTCCCTATTGGAAATTTTTAAAGAGCAATTTTGTCCACAATTTAAAACAAAACAATCAATTTTACCATGGTATATGATTGTTAAAGTATGAAGAAGCAAATAAACATCATTACAATAAATTTGAAGGCCCATTTAAAGGTTTTTTGGGACAAGGAGCCATCTTGCACCCTAAACCCCCATGGGCATTTTGAAATGTTGGCAGGTATGAGAACATTACATACAGATACAACGATCTAAGACCAAAATATCAATCCCTGTCCCATTTTCATCTGGAGTTATTTTAGCCTTATCAAGCTAAGCAAGAGTTGTATCCTTTGGTTTGTCAAATTTCCGAAATTGGTTTTCAAGTTAAACTACAGGCATCTCGAAATATTACTCTGTTTCAGCTGACTTCAAGATATGGAGAGTCGACTGTAGATGGCAAATGTATAATACTATTAATCCTGAAGGTTTCCTGAAGTCATGACAAATAAAATTATATATCATACTAATGACAGTTATCATTACATATAGAATAAAAAGTGTACAATGGTTACATGCAAGGGAAAATCTGGGTATGTACGAGGGTATGAATGCCCTTTACCGTCAGGCGTCAAACGGTCATTTTCGGCTACCGTTAGCGTCAAATCTGTTAAAATTTTTCCGTCAAATTATCCTTATCGTGATTTGTCAGAGGTCTCAAATAATTATTGTTACCGTTATTTTTGGAAAAAAATTAATGTGATTCGTCAAAATCAGTCGATTTTTTTTATCGTCTTGAAGAAATTCTTCATTTTATCATCATGCACCAAAAGTTACCGTTAATTTCATTTGGCAAGATTTTTTACCGTTATTCGTCATGAAGGTACCCCTATTACCACCCTCATGTACATGTATCTATAACAACCAGCAGTTTCATGTGCGTATCATTGTAGCCAGACTAAGGAGGGTTATCTGGTGCACATTTTAAGCCTTACATCTAGGACTTAATTATTACTTTAAATTTTAGTGTAACAGTTTATATGTGCAATTTTCTGGCCTGATAGAACAGAAATTGTAAGAATTTCATTCATTCACCTCAGGAAAATGATAAGTAGAAAAAATAAATTATATTATAAAATGAAACAAAACATCAAGTATGCAGACAAGTACAAACATCTGAAAAAACAAGTACAAAAAGAACAGAGGGAAGCATATTGGGGTTATATTGAAAAAATGATATTGGATCTACCCATAAATGAACCGGACCAACCATGTAACAATCAGTCAAAACCTAAAAAACTGTTCTCCTTTATAAAATCACTGCGCACAGATAACACCGGTGTAGCTCCTTTGAAAAAAGAAGGACAGTTAATAGCAGACACAAAGCAAAAGGCAGACATCCTCAACACACAGTTCCAATCAGTGTTTACAACCGAATCAAATAACAGCATTCCAGACAAAGGTCCAAGCTCACACCCCACAATAACACCACTAGAAATATCACTACCAGGTGTCAAGAAACTTCTACTCAACATAAACCCACATAAGGCAACTGGCCCAGATAACATCAGTGGCAGAATATTAAAAGAACTCAAAGATCAAACAGCTCCAATTCTTACACTAATCTTCAAAACATCACTTGAAACTGGCATAACACCAACAGACTGGAAACATGCCAATGTGGCACCAGTATTTAAAAAAGGGGAAAAATACAAGCCAGAAAATTACCGCCCAATATCATTGACATGTATTTCCTGTAAACTTATGGAGCATATCATCACCAAACACATCATCAACCACCTTGAAAAGAACAATATACTGTATGACCTCCAGCATGGCTTCCGTCAGTCACGATCATGTGAAACCCAACTCATTTCATTCATCCAAGAGCTTGCAGCAAATAACAACAACAACACACAAACAGACTTAATTATAATGGACTTTGCCAAAGCATTTGACAAAGTCCCTCATAAAAGACTTCTCTATAAACTGAACTACTATGGTATTCAAAATGAAACACTAAACTGGGTCTCTGCCTTCTTAAATGACAGAACACAAACAGTTGTCCTGGATGGAGAGTCATCTGACCTGGCTCCAGTCACCTCAGGTGTCCCTCAAGGCACAGTTCTGGGCCCAGTATTATTCTTGGTATACATCAACGACCTACCAGAATACTTACAATCCAGTAAGCTCAGACTGTTTGCCGATGACAGTATCATCTACAAAACCATCAAATCTCAAAGTAACTGTGATGAACTCCAGTTAGATTTAGATGCAGCTGCTAGGTGGGAACAAGACTGGTTGATGGCTTTCCATCCAGACAAATGCACAGTCCTCACAGTATCACAAAAGAAAAAACAGTTTAAACATGACTATATCCTTCACAATCACAAACTTGAACTAGTCTCTTCAGCTAAATATCTGGCATTACACTTCAAGCAAACTTAAAATGGTCAAAACATACAGACAACATCATAGCTAATGGAAACAAATCTTTGGGCTTCTTAAAAAGAAATTTAAAAACATCATGTCAGAACATCAAAACCCAGGCATATCTGGCACTAGTTCGTCCTAAGCTTGAATACTCATGTTCAGTATGGGACCCTCACACAGCTGAACAAACCTCTAAAATTGAGATGGTCCAAAGACGAGCTGCCAGATATGTCTGTAACAGGTACCATAACATCAGTAGTCCTACAGACATGATAAACTCACTAAACTGGCCCACGCTACAAGAAAGAAGACTACGCACAAGATTGATAATGTTCTACAAAATAGTACATCAAATCGTAGCAATCCCATCTGCTATTCTCATACCATCAGACAGTAGAACCCGCAAAAACCATAGTTTCACTTTCAGACACATTTCTACTAAAAAAGATACATATAAATTTTCATTTTTTCCGTACACCATTACTCAGTGGAATTTACTACCAGTCCACACAGTCGCTGTAACCACAGTCGACACTTTCAGAGAACAGCTTACACCAACTGTTCTCCACAAATTCATTTAACTCATTATTAGCCTATGTACATAGTTTTAATTACAATTTAAAATGCTCACGCACTCCAAATTCATTTTCAATTATTTTTGTGTTTTTGTAAATATATATATAGGCCACGCAGCGCAAAACAGTATATAATCTTCAGATATTGAAGGACTACTGAAAACCGAAAGAAGAAGAAGATGATATTGACTCTCTGCATACACCTGATGAATATCTCTTTTTATCAAAACACTAGACATTATAACAATATCTTCGGGTGGCGGTTTATTATCTGCTTACTTACTGTTAATGGAAGGAATGTGTCACAGTTTCATTTTTTGTTTATAATGTTATTGTAATCGAGCGCCATTCATTTTCAAAAATACAGCGCCATCTGTGGAGAAAATATTCATTTCGTACCATGATTATTTCGTCCTATTCTATTTCGTACCCTATGGATTTCGTCCAATGACCATTTCGTATTATCCTCTAAACCATAATCTAATGTACGACCTTTTACTTTTTATACCAGCTTTGAGGTAAGGTGATGTCATGCATTTGAATGTTATGAATTTATCATGAATTTTGGAAGGACAAATCGTCCCACTACCAACTTGCCTCCACATTCAACGACTCGTCCACGTTTTGAACCAACTCGTCTCCACTTGGAAAATTACTCGCTCCAACTCGCCCCGCCAAATAGAAGACATAGATTTACTTTTCAACCCAACAACACCAAAATTAAATATTTGTGTAGAAATGTATATACGCGAGTGTGGGTGGTAATAGTGTGTGTTGTCAGATCATCGTTTCTATATATATATAGTTCTATATATATGTCAATGCACGCAGAATCAATCATCAAAAATTTACAATTCATCCAAACTAAAATTTTATAAATTTCATAATTCAAATCGTAGTTCTTACGTTGATGTTCTAAGGAGCAAATCAGAAAGGTCATCTATGTGTAAAATAAGATTGCGTGCACACAATCTTGCTATATAGTAAAAGGGCGACATTTAGGTTTACCCACCAATGAACGAGTTTACAATGTATGTAAATCGTTAAACTGGACCCCTGTTGTGTTCACTTATCGCTACACTAACGTGCGAAGCATTAGATCGAATGGCGGACCAGTTTAGTAAATCGAGTGAGATAGAAGATGAAAATCACTTTATACTGAATTGTGAAAAATATTCTAACGACAGAATAAACTTTAAAACTGTTATATTAAATATACTTCCGACAAGTTATAGTGAGAATCAGGTAAGTATGAAACGTTGCATTAAAAGCAATTCTTTAAAAGTCCTGAAAGTGACTCAGTATAGTTCTTATAGACGTAAATGTCTGGATTATAGAAATGAGATTTCATTATGCTGTATTCATTTATGGCAAGCCGTTGTGGAATTTATTCCCTATTTATTAATATTAAAAAATCATTTATTAATATTAAATATTATTTTTTTAATATTAATAAATCGATTTTTTAATATTAATAAATATTTTTTAATATTAATAAATAGGTAATTTTTAATATTAATAAATGGGTTTTATTTATTAATATTAAATATTCAATTTTTAATATTAAATATTCGATTTATTAATATTAAAAAATAATTTGTAATATTAAAAAATAGATCCTATTTATTAATATTAAAAAATCATTTTTTAATATTAATAAATCATTTTTTAATATTAAAAATTCATTTTCTAATATTAATAAATGGTCTTATTTTTTAATATTAAAAAATGAATATTTAATATTAAATATTCAGCTTGATTTTTTAATATTAAAAAATCATTTTCTAATATTAATAAATACGCCACCTATATATAAGAGTTGTTTGAGTGCTTTTATATACGATGATCATACGTTACTGCAAGCATGTAGCTGAACTAGATCAGTGGAAAATATGAATAACAAAAATATCTACGAAACACCGGCTTTTATCCTGCTATCAACTAATTGTTGCATAAATAACAAGTTCAAAAATAAAGTTTTGTTTATTTTTACTTGTACAAATAAATCCTCTTGTACTCCACCTCCATATTGAGCAAACGGTAATGAGAATATTTCTGTTTCTGCCGTGACAGTTCAATTTCGATCAACTTCGCGGTCAGCGGTTAAAACTATTATAGATTTCTTTAAAAAATGTAAAAATTCAGACTTGGATTTAAACACTAACCATTAAAGCGTCAGTTATAAATTGTAGGATATAAACAATAAATGTACATTGTCGGAAATACTAAATGTATGTGTACTCGCTACAAAGAAAGAAGAGAAAACCTGGAAAAGAGTTGCTTGTCGTTCTGTTTCTAAATCTTGAACAAAATAAGTTTGATTTTAACAGGTAAATGTAATTACAGGTGACCAGATTATCAAAGCTTTACCTGTTATGTTCATGATATTGTTAATATTTGACATACGTTTAATTTCAATAACAACTACCCCCAATAAATGGCAAGCTGACATAACAGGAAAGAAGTAATAAAAGTTATTTTTATGACTATTCAAAACAATAAATTAATTCATACACGAAAACGAAATTTTGAAAGATTTATATTCTTACGGTTGCTGTTTTTTTTTTTTTTATCTTTTTCTCTAATCTTTTATTCTAATAATCACTTTTTACATTGACTTGCATATTTTAACACACGACAAAAATCACAACCCAGTGATAAGAAAACTGTTTTTTTATTAAATTTAAGAAAGGACTTATCTTTTTAGACAATCAGTTGGGTTTTTTTTATTACTGAAATCTATAAAACATTTTTTTTTATAATATTTTATGAAAATACAAGTTAAAAACATTGCTAAACATAAACATATTAATAAAAAGCTGCCCATTTAATAGAAAAACATGGTAATAAAAAAAAGGTTCCAGAAAATAAGCCTTCTACAATAATTATTGTATATTACCTCTATGTGGTTAGGTGACGTCCCATAATTAATTTAGAGCTCTTCAAACTAGACGAAGAACATTAAGAAAAGAAAGTTCAGTGAAAATGGACTTCACACTAAACTCCAAAACATATGAATAAACTAAAGTTAAAAAGCATACAAGACTAACAAAGGCCAGAGGCTCCTGACTTGGGACAGGAGCAAAAATGCGGCGGGGTTAAACATATATTGTGAGATCTCAACCTAGCCAATGTAGAATAAAGAATACGATATATACAAGTGTTCTAAGTCTAGACCACACAAGCGGCGACCAAAGACACCGGTCATCGTTAATTGATGTAAAAAAGGAAGAAATAGAAACCATTTCATCCAAAAGGTATAAAATAAGAGAGTTTATCATAATTACATTTTTCAAGGCCATACATTTCACGACATGATGATACACTTTTATTACAGTTACTTATCGGGGTTATCTAGACGGCAACAGGTATATTTTCATTTTCATCAAACAGCCCAACGAAACATATTCCCAAAAGACAGCTGTACAGTCCTTTTTTACTGCACCTTTTTTATTGCACCATGTGCACTTTTTGTTCCTCATAGCAATTTAAGATTCGTATAAAGTAAGAATATTTCTGTAGATGCTTTGTTTTTGTCCAAAATAAAATTTGATAAAGCAAAGCATATATTGACACATTGAAATAGAGATTTAAAAAAATATTATTTCCTTACAAAAAATGATCCTATGTGCTACATTGTGCTTTTTTTGTGCTCAAAGGAGGTCCTTTGTGGTGTTTAAGAGACAACAAAAAACATGCTGTCATAGTGAATTGGAATGTAGAAAAATAAGTCTCAGAAAAAATAACTGTGTAAGATATTTTTTAATAAATTTGGTTTATAATTTTTAAATGTATAAATGATTTGGTCCATAATAGAGGTCATGCATAACTCTACCTCTACCTCTATAACATGGTCCATGTGGTGAATCACTTACTTTGGCCAGCATGTGATAGTTCATGTGGTCTTTGTGACAAACGAGACACCTCCTACCATATGCTTCAAAACTTGTACAGGTCTAGTGCTATGGGTAATTTTAGAGACCATGCCTACCTCTACTTCTGGTAACAGTGGGCCACATGGAAAATATCTTAGTTTGGCCAGTGGGGAATAGGAAAGTTGGCATATTTGCCATACCAGGATACCCAAAACTCCCATTCTTTGCTGACACACACGTATGGGTCTAAGCTTTAATTGCTTTCAGACATGCCAACCTCTACCTCTATTCCCATGGCCCACGTAGAAAATCTCTTAGTTTGGTCAGCAGGCAATATAAAAGTTGGACTATGTAACATTCCGGGTCCCCATTAATCTTTGCTGACAAACTCGTACAGTTGTAGGGTTTTAAATGCTATATTCCATTTTAGAGACCATTACCATTTTCTAGTACCATGGCCCCAATGGAGAATCTCTTAGTTTTCCCAGCGGGCAATAGTAGAGATAAAACAAGAATATGTCCATAGTACACGGATGCCCAACTCGCACTATCATTTCTATGTTCAGTGGACCGTGAAATTGGGGTAAAATCTCTAATTTGGCATTAAAATTATAGATCATATCATAGGGAAAATGTGTACTGAGTTTCAAGTTGATTGGACTTCACCTTCATCAAAAACTACCTTGACCAAAAACTTTAACCTGAAGCGGGACGGACGAACGGACGGACAAACGAACGGACAAACGGACGAACGGACGCACAGACCAGAAAACATAATGCCCCTCTACTATCGTAGGTGGGGCATAACAATAAATTGAGGATGGAAATGGGGAAAATGTCAAAGAGACAACAGCCCGACCATAGAGCAGAAAACAGCCGAAGGCCACCAATGGGTCTTCAACACAGCGAGAAAATCCCCCTTCAGCTATGTGCCATACAAGAATACCCCAATCCCCTTCTCTTTCCTGACACACTCCTAAGGGTATAAGTGCTATGGAACATTTTAGAGGCCATACCTACCTTTATTTATGGTACCTGCTATAACTATAGGACATTCAACAAGTACCTGCCATGACTATATGATATTCAACAAGTACCTGCTATAACTTTAGGACATTCAATAAATACCTGCTATAACTATAGGACATTCAACAAGTACCTGCTATGACTATTAGACATTCAACAAGTACCTGCTATAGCAATAGGATATCCAACAAGTACCTGCTATAACTATAGGACATTCAACAAGTATCTGCCATGACTATATGATATTCAACAAGTACCCGCTATAACTTTAGGACATTCAATAAGTACCTGCTATGACTAAAAGACATTCAACAAGTACCTGCTATATATATAGGATATTCAACACGTAACTCCTAAATATATAGGCTATTCAACAACTACCTACTAAACCAATATGATTTTCAACAAGTACTTGCTATAAATATAGGATATTCAACAAGTACCTGTTATAACTATAGGACA